GTCCTGGTGACTTAAATGTGTTGAGATAACGTGTGCTGTCACGTATCTATGCAACATTAAGTATCTGCACAGCTTTTTCAGTTGTGCTGGAGCAATGTTACTCTTCCTCAGCAGCTTACCACAGATACATGTTACATTCCATTCAGATGTTCGTTTTTCAATAACAGGACAAAATGGTTTGTTACTTGAAATTAAAGCCCAAGGTTGTTTCTTTCTCTTAAACTCCCAGCCAAAGCTGCAGTCCTGATGTGGCTTGTGCCTCCTGATCGTAATTCTTGTCGTAATATTCCTGCTGATGATCTCCTGTCATTTGTGACAGGTCTGCTTCGTGACAGCAGGCTCTTGTCTGACAGACTGGAAAACTTGCTCCAGGCCTCTCCAGTTACTAACTCTGCTCTGTTTGTGTTTGAAATGTAAACTGATATGTGACTGTTTTCTTGTGGCCGGTATTGCTCTGCAGCTGCTCTGTTTTAATAGCGGTTTGCTGGGAAGGATCTGTGTGTAAGACCTGAGGCTACTCCAACTGGAGATCAGGATGATTTAGTTATAGCAAGTTCCTTATTTATCACTGGGACGTTCTATATACAAAAACCTTGATAAGGAGGAGATTTTTATAAACATTTAGATTTTAGTTGTTTTAGAGTTTGGAAGAAAAAGCAAATGTTTTTTTTTTTGGGTGGATGGGGATTAAGCTCTTCTAGGTGGCCTTGCTCACCCTTTCCAAGGAATATTTCAGACATGTTTAATTAGAAAGGATCTGTAATCTCTGCAGTTGATTTTTATGAGGCTTGAAAAAAGCTTCAGACGTTCATCCTTGTTTTTCAACAATGCCTTCTCTTTTCACGAAAGGTTAGGGAGACCTGTCTTGTTCTTCGTGGTCTTGCTGCTCCCTCTGTTTTTGGATCCACTGTAAATTGAATGAGCTTGCTGATTATGCCAGGATCTATATCACAGCTACTGATCAGGATTGAACGACTGGGTGAACTGAGCAGCTTTGATATACTTTATTCTGAGTTCAGTTTGAATTTTAAATGAGCGCCAAGGAAAAATGACTGGAATTGGACCCCGGAGGGACCAGCACGCTGTGTTGCAGACACAGGCCAGCCATGCTCTTGCTGCACCTCAAAAATTGTCTGGGAGAAACATTAAGCTGCTTCGTCCTGACACCCTTTCACACAGTAGCTGGCCACTCTCTCGGTGCCCAAGCCAGTGCGATTTCCATTCTTGAACAGACTGAGGACTGGCGTCTCCTCCCTGCTGAGCCCCTGGCTCCTGCTGGTGAGGCTGTGCTGTCCTGCAGGTTGACGGGTTCTGGTGCTGCCCGGCGTCCAGCTGGCCCGCTGCCTGCTGGAGCGGAGGAGCAAACCGTCTCCAGGTCGGGGCTTTGCAGACGTCCAGCGTCTGTGTGCTGGGCCTCTGGACGTGAGGTGGAGCAGCGCAGGGCTGTGGTCTCCCTCCACAGCAGCCGCGGGTGAGAGAGGGAGAGGGAGAGAGGGAGAGAGAGAGACGCGGTCTCCCAGTCTCCCTCTCCCGGAGCGCGAGGCTGTGAGCCATAGCGCGACGCCAGGGCGCTGGGCTACGTTCCCAACTTGCTCTCCATCCAAACCACTCGATGACTTAATTGGCCCAATTACACCATTTGATGAACCGGAAACATTTAACACTTCTGCTCAGGGCTGAAAAGGTTTTATAGCGACGGTAACTTGAATCCAGGGTGACTTGTAAAACTTCAGCCCTCGTGCCCTCTGTGAGAGACACTGGAGTGGCTGAACCACTGATTGAATCAGCTCAGGGGAAGGGGAGTTCAGTAGTTCTGGAGAGCAGAGGCACTGAAGCATCTGTGTTTCACAGCTGTGAGGTGTTCGTCCTCTCTCGATTCTTCATGATCAGTGTTCGGTGATCTAACAAGTTTACCGTAGCCCTCAACTGCAATTTTTTCTTTTTTCACAGGGAAAATAAGGATCGGCTCTGCCCGGACAGTAACAGATTTTGCTGAAGTGCAGTACAGGGAGTGAATGTGCTCCTGTCTGGAACGGTAAGCGCTCCGCCCTGCAGGAGGCTGACTGAGCATCCTTCTGGAGACTGACTGAGCCTGCCAGCAGGGAACAATTTCTTCAGCCTCCACGAGACTCTGCTTTTCCTCTTCAGGTTTGTCCTTTCGATTCTCTTTCAGCCTCAGCAGAGGCATTTTCCCATTTCTGGTTATTGATTGTTGCCAGCCAGTTACCTTGTCTCTCATGAAATCCTAATTTATACATAGGCTGCATTTTAGTAGAAAATAGAGCCCAAGTAAATATAGTGAAATGACAATAAATGCTCCCATTGTATTTTCTTCCTTTATCTTTTGGAAGCCAGCGAGCAAATCTGATGACGTTTTGCCCTGGAATTACAAAATGTTATTGCAGGTTATAGGACACACCACTCCTATACTTCAGGAGTTGGTTCCTTCTATTTAAAAGCCTCCCGCCTGCTAAACCCTCTCTCAGGGCTGGAGAGAGGCCGCTGCATCTGCAGAGACACAGCGCTGTTTGCCACTTCGGCCCGCGTGCTCGGGGGAGAATGACTTCCTGGTGCCGTGCTGCTCCCTCGTAACAGCCGAGGTGGCTGTGAGCCGGGAGGCGTGGCCCTGTGGCATTAACGCACGCACATCTGCAAACAGTTTTCTGGTGGGGTCGGTGCCAAGGAGCGCGGAGATTAACGTCGCTTTAGAGGATCCTGCGATGATTTTGACTCAAATGGGCTTGATTGCATTAAAGTAAACAGCCCTCTCCAGCCCTGCTGGCTCTGGGCTGGGCCTGCTGTCCCAGAAGGATTCCTCACCTTATAAGGGCCGGTGTAATAAAAACATCAAGGGGCTGTGACCCGGGAGAATTTATTACAAGCGACTCTTATGTTAACAACTCTTTCTCCGTATTCTCCCAACAGGTTTGCTGAAGTCCTTCACTTGTAAGCTGGGTGTTTGCTTTTACACCTACAGCTTACAGCACAAGGCAAGGAAAGCCTGCATGCACTGAAAAGCATGTTAAATAAGGTTAGGCTGTGGATTTCCTATGTTTGCGTTTCTACATTTTCACCAAAATAAACCACTCTGCAGTGTTCCCCCCGGACTGAGACAAGCTCTGGCCCCTAGTAAGCTGACCGAACGTGTAGGGCATAGGACAGAAAAACTGAAACGCGCAATTTGTCTGCATTAGAAATGCTGAAGAAAATTTCACGAACTTCCTTCTAAAGTCTTAGGTTTAACTCTGCCAAATTTCTCCAAAAAACAGATGCATCTCAGTGTGTGGCACAATCCCAAGATGGCAGGGTTTCATTGGCTGACGGCAGAACAGCTCTTCAGTGCCATAAACAAAACTAGGATCTCCGTTAAGGAAGGCGCACAACACAGCAAAACATGTGGCCCAATCAGGTCCTCTCTTCCACAGCTGCATCGCTTTCTCTGTGCAGGGAATTGGATGGAGGAATTTGGACAATGCGTGCAGTCTTCCTCAGGGGGTGGGAAACTCACCCCCCCCCCATAAAAACAAAAATAAAAACAAAAGGATACTGTTTATTCCATTAGGAAAAGTTGAGAGTGCTATATTGTTCCTTGGACACCTGTTTGCCCGGGAGACACACTCGTCACCTGCAGTCAGCCGGGTCAGCTGTACTAACTCCGGCACCTCTGACCTCACAGAGGCTCAGACCAGGTTTGCTTCAGTAACAACTGTCCTTGCACTCCGAACGGAAGGCTGTGTTATGCAACAGCATAGAACCCATGAAACTACACAGTAATTGCTTCAGCCTGTGGGTTGCAGGCGCTCAGCTGTGGTTCAACCGAGCATCGTAAATGTATCTTATATTAAGATAAGATCTCAGAAACATGCATTTGAAAACATACACAGAACACAGAGAACGTACCCCTTCCGAGCCCAGATGTTCTGCTGGTTACTGATGTTTTTCAGCACTTAATTTCCTGATGTTCATGGAACTTTACGATGTCTTTGGCTGGAGCAATGATTAAAGGGTTCTGAAAATTACATTGTTTGGTTTAATGCATAAAACCTTGTTGCAACTGTCGGATTATTTACGTGAATATATTAAAAGCGGCAGACAAGGACAATTGTTGACTTTTTTCTGCTGGGGTGGGTGCAGGGGCCATTGGTGATTTCTGCGTAGGGTATTTCCTGCAGAAAGCCACAGCTCAGTGCTATGCTGCCCAGGGAGAGTTTCAGTAGGCCCTTTGAAATGCACAAATGCTGCATATGATCTAGTGACCCCTGAACCCCAAGACATTATCCCTTTCATTGTCCAGCGATTCAAGAGCCACGTTTCAAAGCCTCAGGTGCTCTTTACAGCTCGGCTGGCCCTGTGCATGATTTCAGCACTTGCTCTTGCTTCCTGCTTTGCCTTCATCTTTTCCTTTCAGTGCATTCTCTCTGTTCTTGCTTTGATGCTGCTCCACAGCGCTGCTTTACAGAAACCCTTAAAACCTCTTTCATCAGTGGCATGAAGCGCCCTCTTTCAGCTCGCTGTACTGCCTCAGCCCTCGCCTCCCTCCCCCGGCCACTTCCAGCTTCTCCTGCTGGCGGTGTCACAGGAAATCTTCCTCTGGACTCTTCCAAGGCCTTTCAACAGCGTTCGAAGAGGCAAGATAACTTCAGTGGAAAACTGAATGAGATCCAAAGCCTTCCTTTCTTCACAAGATCCCATTTCAGGGATGGGATGAGCCTGCTCAGACAGACCCGTGCTGTGCAGTCCGAAGGAGACCCAACACCCTCATTACGAACAAACAAGAGGTTGCAACTCGGCCCATTAAGCTCCTTTGTGGGTTAGTAGCCAATTAATCCGAGGACCTCGAACTGATCTTGAAAGAGGTATGGTATCAACTATTCTCTTCGTATTGAACAATAAAGCTGGTTGGATTCTTCCATTCCCCCTTCTTTTTGTTTAAAAAAGTCATTTTTAAACACACCTCCTTCTGTTTTCCACTACTGCATGGAAATAAAGAAAAAAGACAATTCTTAAAAGCTCGTTTTTATTACAATTCTTTCAACCTAAAACACGAAGGAAAGAATAAAACGTGAAACAAAACAACGTCCGTCACAGGGCTCAGTTAAAACGGTGTAAACCGCGCTGGGATAAAAACAGGAGGAGGAAAGGTGCGCTGCCTGCCGGCCCCGTGTATCTTCAGAGTCCAGACAGGTGCCGTTAGCTGTTGGCCCGGGGGGCGCCCTGCCTCTCCTGCGGCGGGAAGCGGGGTCACAGAGTCACAGGTCCTGGAATAAGGGGTGCAGCAGAGCCTGGCTGGCCGTGATCCTCGTCGCCGGGTTCAGGTCCAGCAGCCGGTCCAGCAGATCGTACGCAGCGTCAGGAACCCTGTCCCACCCCTCCTCGCCCGAGTCCCTCTGCCCGCCCTGCGGGGGCTCCGGGGGTGGGCCGAGCCGCGCGGCGAGAGACGGCTCCTCCAGCGCGCCGGGCGCGGCGCTCGGGTCCGGGCCCCCACTCTCTGAGCGCCGCTGCGCTCCTCTCAGCCTCTCGCACAGGGTCCTCAGGTCCTGGGCCGGCAGCTCCCTACTGCAGACCAGAGATTTTCCTACACAGAACCAACAGGGGGGCAAGGCACGTCTTTCAGATCCGGCCCAGGGGGCGCCCGAACGCGGGCCGAAGCACTGCCGAGATCTCCGCACATCCCAAGCCCTGGGGGCTCAGCGGTGACAGGTGTTGCTCAGTTCTTGCAAAACAGGCAGTCCGCAAATGAGACACAAACCGAAGCTGCCTCCCTGTACAATTTGTATGACAAAACTGCCCAGGAATTGTTGTTCTGGCAGCCTTTAGAGTTCAACGATAATAAGAAATTGAAATCTTAAGGCTCTAAAATATTGTCACCAACCCAGACATTTTTATGAGCTAAAATATTCTGATATTGTATGCTATAGTAAATGCTCACAAGTTTACAGAGTTCAGTAATTACCTGTAATTATTAATCTGTTGGTTACGTGACTCAGCTGCTGACATGGAAAACCCCAGCCTATCACCGAGCACCACTGGTAGGGATGAAGATAAAAAAAAACACTCCCAAACATACCAAATGTCTTAGCAGCCTGGATTGTCTCTTTGGATCCACGAATGGTCATGATTTGCGCTAAGGCAATCAGGTCATCGCTTGCTTTGAAAAACGGGTATCTCCCACTGAGCAGAGACAGCAGCACCACTCCTGCCGACCACATGTCGATCGCTACAAAGCAGAACAAAATACCCGGCCAGTTAGTGTTAGACTAACAAGAAGGAACATATTGCTCTTAGACTCGAAGCCTTTACAAGTCATCAAGGGCCCAAAGCATTAAAAAAAAAAAAAAAAAAAACTCTTCTTAATAGGATATAGTGAACATAACTATAAATGATATAGTAAATGTAACTAGAACACAGCTTCAATAATCAACTAATTGTTTTGCAATGGCAATTAAATCCCACCTTTATTGACCCCGCTGTTTTCTGTGGCTGGAAGAGAACAAACATCGTTTCCTGTCAAAGACTGACATTAGGGCTAAAATTACAGGAACACACATAGCTATGGACAGTGCTGACCCCGAAATATGCGGTTTGCTATAGAAACTGAATTGGACTGCACGGTTTTAAATCACCGAGACAGTTTTGCTCCTCGGACGTCATGCTGTAGAACACGGTGCTACATTAGGTTCGTGTGTGCACCACACTGCACAAACACCTTACTGGCACATCAAGTTTCAAACCACAGCCCGTGCTCGCTCATAAATGGAATGACGTGTAGGCAAGTCTTGATCAGAAACGCTCACTGGCCAAAACACTGGCAACCCCACTGAAGATCCTGGTGGGCCGCTCGAAGAGGACGTGACCTGTATTCAGCGAGGTCCCATCACATTCTTGAGTCAGATCACGTCTCTCCGTCAGATGAGGACATAACGAGGGGGAGGGGAAATGTCTTCATATTCTGTGAGTGTACATAGCATAACAGAGGGGCTGTTGTCCTCCAAAACGCTGAGCATTTCCTTCAGCAGCTAGAGCATCTGGGTTTTCAATGCCAGGTACACAATCAAACCAGCACCGGGAGACACATTCCCTCAAAAGCCACCAGTTGTCCGCTTTCCATTTAATCCAAACTGTAAAATCAAATACCCCGATTATCACTCGTGACTCTGGTGGAAAAGGGAGTTCTCCAGGTCTCCAACAGAGGAGGAGAGGACCTGACACCACGGATTTCTACCCAGCTTCGCAGAGTTCAATAGTTAACCTCTGTCCGCTACGTGACTCAGCCTTCATGGAAAACCTCCATCTATCATCATCAACCTATCAGTGAGCACCAGATATGATGAAAACAAAAAAGAAAAAAAAACACAAACACCCCCAAATGTTTTAGCAGTCTGGATTGTGTCTATGGGTCCACGAATGGTCTGCTCACAGGGGCTGGGAAACAACCTGGGTTCGAGGAGCTCAGAGCTCCAGCACATGCGAGTGAAGGCAAACACTGAGGGGCCCCTCGCAGGCTTCACCCACAGGGCACACAGCACATGACAGGGATACGGAAACACTATGCGCCCGATTCCCACCGGCTGGAATAATGACAATAATGGCCGACTGCTATGTCGCCTGTGCTGGGGCGATCAGGCGGGGTCTGGGCACAGCGCGCTGCTGCTGCAATTAGGAGGGGCAAAGCAAGGCCCATGACTGCCACGCGCGTCTTCAAAAACACAGCCATCTACCCTTTCCACCGCAACTGCTAACGACGGGGAAAAATAAAATCGCACGCGCCCCCAAGCTCGGCCGAACAGCGGCGCCTTCGGTGACGGCACGCCCAGTCGGCGCTCTTCTCCGCTGCGTGCTGTGGGATTCCCGTTTGGAATACGCTCCCGAGTGCAAGACAACGCTCGGCTGCTGCACTGCTCCCATCTCCCTGAAGCGTGGTGCTCTGAGGGGGCCGTCGGCGCTGGAGGAGGCCAGACAGCCTCAGACGGCGCTCCCCCGGGGAAGCTGGCCCCTCGCAGCGAATGGGACCCATGCAGCTGACTTCCACAGGCGCAGCGCACTGTGGAGAAGTCATGCAGATGATTTATCTTGCCCTCCCTAGAGGAGCACTAGCACCCCCCCCCGCTAAAGAGGCACAGACGGTAACTAGAGAAACAGAGACACAACAGAAGGTCTCCAGTCCGTGTCCTCACACACACACAGCACGTGCTTCTCCAGCCCCTGACGTGCTCCACTGAACCACCAGGGAACAGGACAGAGACCGCAGCCGAGGTGCTTCAAGTGAACAGAGACTAGCAATGGGCCTTCACAACATATGCATAAGTAATACGTGTAGGGACATTTTACAGCTGGCAAGTCTCCTGCAGTACCGCGATAACCGGAAAGCAGATTTCTTCAGAATGCATTTTTTTAAGGTTTACATTCACAGACACCAGCCTGTTCTCATTTTTCATAAACCTGAATCACTGGTCATCTAGGAAATGACAGCAGTCTCGGGGGGGTGAGGGGCTGAACTCCTCCAATCACATGTGCCTTTGCCTTCACTGACAAACAGGAAATGGACTAATGGTGTCACAATCCACTTCCTGATTAATTCCACATGGGAGCTGAAATCCATGAAATTAAAGATATAAAGGTTCTTCGTCTTTCAGGCCGATTTCACAAGCATGTGCATTTACAGGGAGGTACTTACGGACCAAGTGATAAACAAGAAAGATATCAGCTGTAAAATAAAAATATATTTTTCCAGTGGTGACTGGAATGACTGGACCAGCCTTTTTTCTACTTTATTAAGGGACTCAAAACAGATCAATTCCTTATCGCCAGTCACAGACGAAACAGGGCTTTCCATCCAGCGGCACAATTTTGGTGACTAATAATTGGATTCCAGTCATTTACGTCCCAGTGAAGATGAGCTAAAGCAGGACCTCTCCTTTTTTTTAATTCATCGACAGCTGAAGACCTCTGCAGTGTTACAGCGGCCCGTATGCTGCCGACCAGCTCAACCTGGTCTTTCAGGAGAGAGGAGGGAATGAAACTCCGCAGACACTGCTGCCCTCCAGGACTGGAGCTGGGCCAATAAGCCAGTATTAACCCACAAACAATCTACTTTTGGATAGATTGCATTCTGTGTTTTAGGATATTTAAATGTACAAATTTACTTTAGCTTTAACTGCTAGATAACGACTGCAGACATTGTGCAAGCATCTTTGAGATACTGCCTTCCACCCTGCTTTCCAAATACCTCTTTCACCAAGTCCCGACATGAGTGTGACTGAGGACAAAGGGGACTGGCTAGTAAGCATAAAAGAGGCGACAACTTAAAAACTCAAGTGCCTTGTGCAAAAGATTACAGGATTTAAAAAAAAAAAAATATATCCCTATGCAAGACTCTCCAAACTTGCACTTCGCACACAACATGTGGAGATGCCTAGAAGAGTGGCCACACCAGCCACTGAGCAAAGCCAAAGACCACTTATTAATCAAGTGCAACATCCCTCTGGGTACCATTACTAATGAGACCCAACACAGGAGGCTAACATCCAGTAACTGCAGAACACGAATTCGCTTTCAGTGGAATAACCCAGATTTTGCGCAGTATGGTATAAGGCTGCTGGACAGTTTGAGTCAGCAGGTCTCCACGGGGAGGAGCTGTGTGCGGTTGTTGGGGCGGGGCTCTCACCTGTGCCTTGATGTGGACACTTGGTCAGGACCTCAGGGGCTCTGAAACCAGGAGTACCTGCCCTGGGGGCCACTTGCGGTTTCCTGCAACACATTTCCAACCACAGAGCAGATGTTAATGTCCTCCCATCAGCTCGGAGAAGCTGCAGCGCTCGCAGGACATTAATAAAGGGAGCAGACGCTGTCAGACAAGACGCTCTGCAAAGAGGCTCCCATAGGAATCCCTGGCAAAAACGGCACAAACCAGCAAACAGCTCCGATGAAATGGAATAATTCATAACTCAACCCATCTATCAATGCATTCTGGTTTGTTTGTGAAAAAGGTCTCTTTTTTTTAAAAATCAAGATTCTGACTATTTTTCATTTCACGGCCCATACCTCAAACCAGAGCAGTGACTAAGAGAGGGGTTACGATGATAAACACAAATCACAAAACACTGTGAATCATAATTTCCTGGACAAGATATTTTCTGTGTAATGTCTGAAAGGATAGCTATAATTTGGTCGTTTCACTACAGAACTCAGCTGGCTCTCGAAAAGCACCAATGCACACAGACTGCCAGTGTGATAAAACACTCATACGAAGTGGCTCAGAGCTCAAGAGTTACTTGTGTCAGCTTGAAGTCCTGGGGACACCCCAGCAGCCCCTTTGCAAGAGAGGAACTGCAGCGGGGGTCCCAAACCCGAACCCGGGGATCCCCACACCTGCTGGCTTTCACTGCCTCTCTGCAAGCGTGGCACAAGTGTCAAGGGTCCTGAACGCGCTCCCTGCGCACGAGAAACGGAAACGAGAACGCCGTGGCCCCGCGCGCAGGCTCACCTGGAGAGGCACATGTTGCACACGCGGTCCGTGTCGTGGCAGCTGCAGGTCAGGCGGGCCGGGCACCCACCGGCCGGCCTACGGCTCTGGGCGCCGGGCGCGCCCTTCACAGCGACCGGCCGGCGTGCCGGCACCGCCATCCTCCGGGACGCGACGTCCAGCACCTTGGAATGTTTCACCGGCTAGAAGGGGAAAAAAAAAAAAGGGAATAACCTTCTACTAGGGTTTCCAATTTAGCCAGAGCCCCCATCGCACACACAGTCATCCCAGTTTAACAAGTCTGACTTGATTGATGAGGACTGGGGGCTCATAGGAGACGGACAGGTTTATTTTCCACTTCGCTTCTCTGCTTGCTCGGCGACGCCAGTTAAACACTGCTGGACCGGACTGCAGTCAGGGCAGCCAGCACTTAGCAGGGAGTCTCCATCTCATTCCACAGGCCAACTGCTCTTACAGCCAATAAGGCCTGTTGTAGGAGATACACCGCAGCCTCCCTCTCCTCCCTGGTGTAAGTAAGTGTGCAGGCCACTGTAACACTCGCAATTACACCCCGAGATAAAGGCTTGCCATTTGCCTCATTCCAGCTATACAACTTGGCCGGCCAAAGACCCAAGTGCATTTCTCAACTAATCACAGCGAATGGTGAGAAACCGTACAGTAGCTGTAAGCGAGGAGGAGGCATGCCTTCAAATTCTTGGATAAGGTCACAGACTGTGCATCCTTGCGGCTCCTCCTGAACAGGCAGGACACTCCCACCACCATGAACCCATTCAACTTTAGAAACAGCTACAGGAAACCACACATCAAACACAGCTACTCAACCGTAAAAGATCTGAATGCTTATGTCTTCGCAAGCGCTTGACTGGACACTGGCAAATGAGGAATGACATTCGGCAGACAACACTGAACTGATAAGAAACCCCTCCATTACCTTGACTAAGGAGTCCTCACGCGTGTTCAGCTTGTTCAGGTTTCTCTCCCCAAACACAGAGCGCTGTGCCGAGTTCACCAACTGCGCTTCCTGGAATATTAAAAGAGTTTTAGACTTCCGTCAAGGACACACCTATTTTTTAATTGTACTTGAAGGAACCCTGGAATCAAATAAACAGAGTTCGCAGATCTCTCACACACCTTGACTCTCCAGTGTATTAACCCACAGCAGCGTCTAGACAAAGTCATAAACACCCCTGCAGAGTGCAAAACGTCACATAAAAGCTGAGAACACAACTGTGCTAGGTGATGTGATAAGAAGTTTATATTACCTGTAAATACACACTTAATGTTGAAGGTAGGAATTATTAACTGTTTCACTCATGTAGGCATACGTCAAGTGAGACAACAATAGCTTTAATTCTGCACATTTTTTACAACGCTAAGCCTCTGCTTGCAAACTGGATCTTCAACTTGATTCTTACCAGCAGCTCCCCCTGCTGGTAACACAGGGCAATGCATACAAAAATGTTTTCAGTGGGGGTTGAACTTTCCTTGCCTGTGTTTTTCTGTCCAAAACCAGGGTTTCTGAAATGTCCTTTGAACTATATTCTACATTTTAATGTTTTTTGCTTTACAGATGTAACTTAAGTTTACAGAAGTTAATTCAGTAACGGACAGAGAGGGGACAGGAGGACCAAAGATTTTAAGACCCTATAATTAATTTAAATCACGGGGCAAAACAGGGTCATGTTGTGGTTCATACTCTTATTCTGGGCTTGTGCCGAATACAGATTAATCCGCACCCTCGCTTAGATCTCTCAGTTTACGATATTACTTCAATGTTTCAATCCGGTCACAAGGAAAGGGTTAACTGTTCCACACGCATGCACACACAAATTCCCCACGCAAGGCGATGCAGAACCTTTCTGTGTTTAGTCTGAGCCAGTGACCAGGATCTCTTGGCAGGTGGCTTCATGGGGCAATGCAGAGGGCGGTCGTCCGGAGATGGCCTGCAGGGCTGCGTCTTACTCTCAGGGGGTGCAGGAGGTCTGTTATCTGTGGAAGCTCCCTGCTGGCTCTCAGCCTTCAGGACCCGGAGGAGCTCGATCTGGGTACCGGGGGTCCCCTGCGCTAAGCCAAAGTCCACCAGAGCATACCTGCAGGTGTTGGGGAGAAACAGGAACGCTATTCATCTCCCGATACCTGACGCCACACGTCATCTAGACCAGCGGGTACGAATCCGCCAAGCAAGTCCTGCTGGTTCCTATGGTTTCCACTCCCCCTGGTCTGTTTACGAAGCGAATGTAAAAATATTTTTTTTTTCCTGGCTCCCAAACAATAAAAAAAACAAACCCTGTGAGGCATCAGGGACTGTATGTTCTATAGGCAGCGTCTCTGTCCTCTGATACAGACCAGGGCCCACCAGGGCCTCGGTCCAATCAAAACAGACCAGCTCGCCAACAACAGATTAAAACCCCAGTTCCTAATGGCAGATTTCCATCGGGTATAAGGCAGAAGCTTCTGGAAAACAAAAGGCTGCCACCAAGTGCTGGCATTGTAGATCTGAGACTGGCAGATGGCTCTAAGCTGGATCTTATGACTTATGGCAGAAGTTATTGACCTCGACGTGATTGACCTCAATCCAAAAAGTGGTTCTCCTTTAAAACGAACAAATCAAACGCTTAAAACCTGGGACTTAAACGGGCCTGAAGCACTTAAGTGCAGCAAATTTCCTGTAAAGCACTGCATATGCCATTCACATCCAACCGCATGATGTGTACTTATACAAAGGCCACTAGAGCCATTCAGTTTATAGTGCTCGTTTCAGATGTTATTAATTCAACATTTGCTACATGTCAACTGCAAACTAGCAGCGCTGTTTGAAACTGAGTCTCTATAATAATTCTCTCAAGGATGAACTTAACACACTTATCACACACACACACAGAAGTTGAGTCTGCGCGAGTGACCAGGATGGGTCACCAGGTGGACAAGGCAGGAGATGCACAGGGGGGCTGTCTGCCGGCTGCCTGCAGTGTTGCCTGTTATTCCCTGACACTCCCACAGGAGAACTTTGCACAACCCCAGGGTTACAAACGACCGACAGAGCGGACGAGATGGGCAGAGTTAGCTCGGTTTGGGCACAGTCTGCGTTCCGCTACCGCGCGGCTCAGGGAGGAGACGGCACGTACTTCTGCTGCTGGCGGCTGTACAGGAAGTTACTGGGCTTGATGTCACGGTGAATGATGCCGAAGCTGTGGATGTGCCGGAGGGCTTTGAGCAAGTGAAACATGTACCGCCGCACCTCTCCAAAACCCATCGAGCTCACGATGTCCTGCAAAAGGCACGAGAAGAAAAGCGTGCGTTCATGAAAGTGGTTTCTGAAACAAAAAAAAAGGTCCGTTGATATTCCGGTGAGCGACTTACCACGAAGGATTCATGCTGCAGGTAAGGCATGACGATAACCACGTGGTCGTCCTTTCGAAAGCAGTACGTCACCCCAATGACATTTTCTTTTCCGCTAGAATGAGAAGGTTTAAAAACCCCCGTGAGCATCTTCCCAACAGCCATACAGACTCACACTTCGGCTTCTCCTCCTGCTCATGGTGCAAGAAGGATGAGTGAGATCACACAGTGCAGCCAAGGCTGTTGGGTTTCCTACAAACCCCACCTGAAGATGTGGAGCTGCTCAAGTACGGCAAGAAACAAAACCACAGACGGACTTCATGCAGGCTGGTGCATGATCCCTGCTGGGGCTTTAGAAACTGCATGCGTCAGATCAAAAAGAAAAATGCTCTAGAAAGGCACTGAACTCTTAATCAATATTAAGCTGTGGGCGTTTCATTTGACATCAAAACCCTGGCATGGGCCAGTTGTTAGCAAAAAAACACATCTTAAAAATCAGCAAATGCACGTGCTGCACAGTGACATGTAGGCCTATGGCTTAAGAGTATCAGCAAAATACTGGAGAATGCTCTCGTCAAGTCTGGATGACATGAAGCAGTCTTAACACCCTTTAATGACTTACTCCTGGAAATATCTGCAAAGCTTAACGATCTGTACCATGCACTGATTAAGAACAGTTCAGTTTAAGTATGCGTCTGCATTTAATATTCCATAGTAATAATACAGTTAGGGCAGAACAGCGGAAGGCCATTCTCCATTCCTTTAAAGAGCAAAGGAGAGACAAAAACTGGGTTTATTGAAATAATGAGCACATGGGACATCTGGAAAAGTCACAAGCTCTTCTGTTTTCCCCCCTCGTTTTGTGGGAACTTTTAATCAAAAGAAACAAAATATATTGCAGACTTCCAAATGATCTGAAGTCTCAACTGTATGAAACTTAATCAGACTGCTGTTTTATAGCCTAAGGTCTTTCCATTACTGATCAACACTGCTCAAAAGCCGTCCCCAGCCAGATCTATAATAACAACACACAGCAGAGCAGATGAAAACTGTTTCTTCTTTGGAAGCCACTTCAAAACAACATGCTTTAACTTGTTTTTATCTCACTTGCAGTAAATTATTCAATGGGGCAGTAACGTAAAACTCTCGATTTTGCAGTAACTGCCCTTTTAAGATGCCTACCCCCCAAAACAATTTAAGAAACAAAATTGATGGTGCTTTACAGAGCTACTTTTGTATGCTCGCTCGCACAGCAATTACGAACCTCCTTAAAGAAAACCTGTTCACTGTGTTCAGGTCCATTAGGGAAGAAACCAGCCTCCAAAACATCTGGCAAACGTGCCAGGACGGCCTCACTCCTGCTGGCAAGCACACTCTGACCCCGATGTGCAGGGGCAAACACGTGCCGCTTTCATCAGCATAATTAAGGCACAGCAACCGAAGAGGAAACAAAACACACGGAAGGCCACCTGTATGTGAGAATTCTTTGTCATTTGGGAAAGTCACTGCAGTTGTGGGGACACACTGCACACCTTCCATGGTAACCTTGGGGGCAAGTCTCTCCGGCTCGGCCGGCCAGCTGCGGCTGCCTGCGCACCTCGAATTCAATTCCTTCCACCTCTGCTCTTAACGACCCGATTGGGCCCCTTGCGCGCGTTGCACAGACCAATTTGACACTTTTCAAACATCGTCAATCTGTCGACCCCGTTTAAAGGGATCTGGAAAACCGGCCGCGCCCGGGCCCCGAAGGGCTGGAGCAGCGCTCCCCTACCGGATGCGTAGCACGATTCCCTGCAACGAGACGGCTCAAGGGCACGCCCTTCCATCCAGTCCACTTCGCGGTTCTGCAGCCGCCAGGCCCTGCATTCTCTCTTAGTTAGCAGCGTCAACACAGAAAGGACCAGAGTGGCACACATCCCATGACTGCAGCAGTGCAGGTCGGGAGGACCAGAGGCTGAGAAGCCACGTTCCAACAGAGGCATGGGAAGACCCCAGACTTATAAATCACGACCAGAACTGCCGGAAAAATATCGACATCACCAGAAAGGGGAACGCCTGGCCCTCCAGTCAAACAGAGGCCTGCTTTTAAAGGCGAATAGGCCGATTTGTTTTTATTGCTCAGGTCCGCGTCAGCAGTGGCGGCGACGGGCAGAGGACTCACCCTGCCACAGTCAGGCACTGCAGCTCTGCTGCAATCCGGACCGGGTGGCTGGTCGGGATCAGGTGCTTCAAAGCAAACTTCTCTTTCGCGCCAGACGTCAACCGTGCCTCCGCCAGGTACACCGAGCTGAACGTACCTGTTAATCCCAAACACAAACACTTCTATGACACATCCGGCGTGCACAGACCCCACACACTGGCTCTGGCTGCCAAACCACAAGACTGCAGCTGCTCAGCTACAGCGCTCCAGCTTCTTAAGCTAAAGAATAAGTTCATTATATTAGAAAATGCTTAATGCAGTTCAGACCTTCACCAATTTTATCCAATATGACGAAGATTTTGGAGAGCTGGGGTATGGCTTCATACAAGCTTTCAATATCCGTTTTGATTTCTCCTGTAAAGAAAATAAACAAAAAACAACTTAAACCAAACAATATTTTGTCCAAACCAAATATATATATATAAAGGCAACTATAAGGTTTCAGAGTTACAAAACAAAGAGGTTACTTCAGAATTGAATGCACGTGTGGTTTCCCGTGTGCCAGTAAGCCACCCAGACCTCAGAAATCAATACATCAGAATAATCACAGCTTTGGAGGGAATGGGAGTCAGAAGACGACACCCCATGCCTGCACAGCCAGTACAGAGAGGAGCGCCCCACAACCACAACAGCTCAGCGCTGACTCGAGACTCACCTTGGCCACACGGGACGCTTTCTGGGTATCCACACCGTCAGTACACTGCTCAAATCCTTACAGCACCTGCACCACGCTTCCAGCATGCTGCGTCTGTCATATCATTGTACTGTACGCCCCCCTGCCCTCTGGTAGGGATTACAGGACCATAAAGGCACGAACCTCAAGATTCAGAGGCGGTTTCGTCCTGCAGGCTGTCAGATGACTGAACTCTACCGCTACCACTGGCTCACACTCATGTTTATTTCCTCTTCTCACGCTGCTTGTCTGACTTGTATTTAAGTTGTACCTTATTTAACTTTGTTGCTGCTGCTGCTGCTGTTCTGTGTTTAAGTCTCCCTATCAGAGCACACATGCAAATCAGCATTTCATTGCACTTGTTCAGCACATGACAAATAAACGGTGCTGAACATCACTACCCCATCCTGCTCTGCTGCACGTACAGTACCCATCCGTTACTTGTACAATGGAAGTGTCATACGTATTGCAACCTCGGTCCTGAGGACCTGGAGACAAATCCTTCAATGAAGCAACAGGTTGCCTGGCTGGAAAAACTTCAAGTTTATTTTTGGGGTCTATTCGAAGGCAGCAGCTCTCTCCCACTTACGCGAGATGTAGTTTCCAACGCGCCCCTCCGGCTTCATCTGTAAAGGAGCCGACTCCATCTCCAATAGACAGAAACCTGACGAACAACAGAAAGTCACTTTTTTTTCGGGGGGGGGGGCAGGTTCAAATACGTACCCAATAACGCGCATAGACACACACACACGTCAAGACCGATGAGGTTTTCTCCTTTTTACGCACTGTTCTCTTTGTCTCTGTCAAACGATCACGTCTGAGCATCGCAGAAGAGAACAAACCCGAGGTGTTTTCGGGCCGTCCGCTTGCAAGGACGATAAACCCCCCCAGACAGCTTGCAGCGTGCGACCCCCGGGAGCCCGCAGACCATCGGGGGGGGAGGGCACGTGTGCCACTTGTTTAACATCACGACTTGTGGCACAACGCTCAGCGGGAACTTTTATTGTCCAAGTGCCATCCCGGGGGGAACAGCAGGAACAGCGCCCGGATAGCCGGGGCGCACACGCAACTCGCAGGAAAGCCGATTCACGCCACCGCCGCCACGTCGCCTCACCCCACAAACTTCAGGACGAGCTACAACATGAAGTTAGGAGGCGGGAGCGCACGACTCATCTCCGATCAGCCCCGGCAGGACTGCCCTGTAAACAAACCCCGGGAGGCGACCCGCAGAAACAGCAACGCGAATATAACCGCGCGTCTGTCAGGGTCGTGTTGTCTAAAGAACCCCAGCACAAAAACTTCCGACAGCACATCCGCCGCTAACCCCGCTCATCTAGAGAGTCAAAGGCGTCCCCGTTACCTCAGTACGGGAGCGGAGAGCCCAGGCGCTGCTGCCGGCCGGCCGCCTCTCTCTTCCTCCTCCCGCAGACGAGCGACCCGCGCAAACGTGACGTCAGGGGGGAGGGCGGGGCCGCGCAGCGCGAGAGCGAGAGCTTCCGGCTCGCTCCAGGGCCGTGCGTCGGCACGCGATGCAACCGCACTACCCCTCGTCCCCCGCAGAGCAGCGGCCTCACGCCGAACCATTGCTCTTGTGCACGGACAGCTCTTTGCAATGCAAAATGCAAATGAAAGACACACAAGGCTGCTGTTGTTGATGAGATATATATATATATTCTACCAAAACTTCTGTAAATTTGTCATGCCCGTAGACACTGAATCGAACTGCATGATCGACCCTTTCTCTTGCCCGTCTGTTTGCTGCACGAAGCCCACCATCCAGTTCCTCCAGTCTGATGTGACGCCGTTGTTGTTTGTTGCATCCCAAGTGTCTAGCTACAGCTTTCCCAGGTGAGTATGTGAGGCTGGATAAGTGGGCGACGGGATAATCCTTAATTATCACATGATCTGCAGCAGCTGTGATAATAAAGCATTAGTTCAGTAATAGAGGTCATAGGCTTGTAATGGACTGGAAAGGCTGGCCTTTCCTGATGCCATGTGTTCGAGAGACCTGTAGCTCCCGAAGGCTGGGTTTTGGGCACTGATATACATGACAGGGTGTCCAGTCCTGGTCCTGGAGGGACAGTGTGTCTGCTGGTCTTCTAGGTCTCTTCAATGCTGCAGCATTCCAGACCTGGGGGCAGTTGTTAAATGGGACCAGTTCACCCAGTCACCAGCAGGTGCAGCTCATTAAGAGCTGAGCTGGAGTGAAGACCCACAGACACACCAGCCCGCTGGGACCAAGACAGGACTCTGCTGCTCTATAAGGACAAACCTGATGTGAAAAGGAACTTGCGTCTGCACTTTCCTGCACATTAAAAACATACATGACTCTGTTTATTAACAACATGCATTTTTTTGCATATGGTTGGCTCAGCACAAATACTGTCCTTAATGTGTAATTTAAAAAGGGTAAATATCTCACTTAAAAGCACTGTTATAAACTTGCTGGTTATGAAACTAAGGGAATGATGACTTTCGTTCATTGTAAGGTGTGACTAAGCTGTGCATGACGAGGGTGCTATGAAATATTGTCACCAATGGGTCACCACTTGAAAAGATGTTATCTTCAGCCGAAGGTGACAAACCTTCAGAGGAACACTGAACGCTTGTGGGGAAGGGAATAATCCTCCATTCTGGCTCCCTAAGGTGTGCTTACAGGGCATGGTTGACATCACTGTTTCCTCTCATCTGTTCATACAGATTACTCTCAAGATTGTTGCTGTCATTGGCTCTGTGTGCCCTCACCAGCCTCCCTATTTGTCTCTAAAATGTATATAAACTTAAAATTAAACACGAAGAAACCACAAGAGTTCAACAAGAGAGCACATCATATATTTGATAAAATAATCAAAATCTCAATGTGTTCATTTGAATTATTAACAATTAACAATACATTTAAAATCAGATTTATAAACAATCAAATCAAAGAAATACAATAACTTACAACATTTCTACTAGCATCTGAACAGACTTTTGGGGAGTACTAAAATATTCCATCAAATATTCCAAGAAAAGCACTAACTTCTGTGGCGCTGTCTTCCCTCTCAAATCTGGAACACAATGTGACAGTAAGGTTTGTAATATTTTTATGTTCAGATTTTCTCTCAGTCACCAAATAACCTGTTCATATTTAACTATTCTGTGAGTAATTATTTACATTCAAAAACGTAACAAGTTTGAGTGTATTTCTTTCACAGTAATTGTGATTATCCTGAAGTAATTGAATGTGAACTCAAATCCTAAATGCAAATTTAACCACAAGATTAAAGAAGCTATGAGTTTCAGGCAGTGCTATCCGAATACACACATAAATGTGAATTTCCAATTAAAGTCTGTTTCAGAAATCAACAGTAATAACAGGTGCAGAGTATTAACATACTGCAAGATCTCCCACAGAGTGACTTACTGTACCTGCCACTGCCTTCTGATACTGCGCTTGCAGCATGCAAATGGGAGAAAAAATCAAATTTCCCCAAAACTGCTGATGAGTTTGTTACATTCCGTCTGGGGCATGAAAGCACCATCCTGTTCTCACTCTGCTCAGTATGAATCTTCTGAAGAGAAACCAAAAAAATAACTCAGCAGTCATGAGGCAGGATTCGAGACAAATGCTTGTTTATCAGTCTGAAATAATACTGATTGGATATTTTCCAAACTGCTTTGGAGTGTGGCATTATCCTTGCCCACACTACCTTCTAAAGTAAAGACGCTGAGGAAGAAACACTGAGGTATTTAATCATATTGAGATGCATGTATAGCAGTAATAGTGCCCATGGAAAAGACTTAAGTGAAGTTCAGCTGCAGATCTTCTAGAAATATGTCTGCAATGGTAAAAATATTAGATCTGTCAATCTCACCACTCAGCCTTTTTACTGCCTATTTTATTTCTGTCAAGAGCTGAAAGCAAAGAGATGAGGAAGGTGTTTTTGACATCTGGTTAACTTTTGATAAGGATTTCTCCTGTATACCTGTATAATTTAATACATTTTCTGTGACATTACATTGTGCTACAGAAAACTTTGCAGCTGTGCACTGTAGAATGAATGGAAATTCTGTTAATCTAAATTCAGGACTAGGAGCTACATAAATGAAATGGGGAATACTACACATTTAAAGAAAGCAGAGATATGCAAGCTTAGCTTTTACTGCACTTACAGGTTTTGCATCTGAGAAGCTCCTGGACTGTGATGACTTATCATCTGATGTGCAGGTAAGTGCAGGTGTGCACTTAGACACCTGCGGTATAATGTCATTATATGTAGTTCTAAAAAAATACAACATAAAGAAATAAATACATGCATATTCCGACTGAAAATGTGTGCAAATAACAGGATGCTTTATAATATTATAATAGCAAAAGTAGTGTCAATCTAACATACTTATTAAAATATTTACAATGTAAACATATGAGGAAAGTAGTATAATTACTTTTTATCGAATTTACTTACCCTTTACATTCTTTGAATGATGTAGTCTGCCCTATCTTGGAGTACAAAGATGCTGAAAACGCTGTAATAAAACATTAGCTTTAATAGTGCTTTTCTCAGAAATGTTGGTACTTGTATGAAAAACAGATTTCATGATATACACTGGAATCTATAGACAGTAAAGACAATAAATACCAGAATGACTGCAAAGGAAAAGCAAAACAATAAAGTATAGTTATAACAGGACAATCAGTTAACGTAACTATAATATGGTTTAATAGTTTACTGTGAAAAACTCAAGCTCATTAGGCAGTGGTAGAATGTTAGACTTGTGTTCTATTCCCTGAGGATCTCATCCAGCCATTTCTTATAAGAAGCCAGAGAGCCTTCTTCATCTACAGGGCTGGGTGGTTTGCTCCATACCCTCGCTACCCTTTGCATAAGGAAGTGTCTCTTGTTCTCGGTTCATGTTTCACTGCTACTGATGAAGAAGCCCATTGGATTGAGTTTGCCACTGCCCTTGATCAAGGGCAGGCAAGTTGGAAGAGCAAGAGATCAACAAGCCAAATAGAAAAACTGTACACAGTATGCTGAATGTGATCTTACTAGTGCATTGTACAATATTAACATCACATCCCTTGATTTACATTCTGTGCTTTTAACCATTCAGCCTAAAAGTTATTTTTCCCTTTTTCATTGCTTCCTTGAGTTGTCTGGAATGTGTAAACAACGTGTTAACATAACTGCTAGGATATTTTCATCACTATCCTCGAGGAGCTCTTGTCTTTATAATTAATGTTTTACTACCTGCATGCAACACCCTCCAACTGTCTGTGTTAAACATCATCTGCCCGGTGCTTGTTCAATCAATCTCAAATTGAATCTAAATCTTTTCGAATGTCATCTGCTGCATCTATGGTTTTTCGAAACCTCCTATTTTTGGTATCATTTGAAAACTTGACAGGTTTACCAACTATAGCAGAATCTAGGTCACTGATACAGCTTAGGATGAGCATTTGGTCTTTATTTGGTCTGCCAAGGTCCTAATCAATGTTCATAAGAATAGATGAAATACACCGGTATTTGTGACAAATTCTTCTGGCTTGTATAGTTTTAAATACCTATATTTCCCACTTAATTCCATAAGTAAAACAATTTCTCACTTCTATGTAATCTGATCTATATAAATGCAAGGAATTATTATTTAATATTACTGTACTTTAAAAGCAGTACAGTATTAAAAACTGACATCACAGAGCAGGAAAATTCTTGTTAAAATGTATACCTGTTGCTTTCTTCAATCCTGGCCGTGGTATCTGTGCATCAGAAAGCTCACTGACTTGTACCAGATTCTCATCGTCAATATCACTCCAGTCATCCACTCCAAGATCGAATGTCACACGCATAGCTTCTGAGAAGCATCCACTTTCATCTGCGTCTCTTACCCTCTGATTCTCAGAGTAACCTGTGTTGTTTTGTGGAGTGTTGACTTTACTTCCAGTATCAGACTGCTTCCACACCGAAAAATCTGAAATTTGAAAAAAGCTGCACTGTTTTGATAATTGAATTACGTATAGTGCACATATAACAGTAATCAGAATGAGTTGTACAATAATACAACACAATTTTGACCACTGATACACATTCTTGGTGTTTTTTCCTAACACACAGATTGACATTAATTTAAAGAGTAATAGGAGCAATTAGTGTTTTGACAGCAATAATAAACACCTATATATTTTCTTTTTAGTTTATAGCACTGAACAGTTTGCTTTTTAAGTATTTACTTGCGTTTTTCGCTTCCTCAGTATTTTGACTGAGAAGTTCCTCATCTGGCTCTGGGACGATCCAGCTGTGAGAGTTGGCAGTGTAACATCCCATGTCATAGTCTGATTCAGTGCAAGAAGTCATTGCAAAATCATTAATCTCATTGCTCTACAGCAGTCTAGACACTGCAGATCAATATTTTCATGAGGAATGTCAGTACATAAAATAAGAAATGTACAGAAAGCTTTATGAACTTAAACTCCTAAACTGGCAACACAGACATTAATAATTCATATTATTTCATTATATTCTGAGCATCATGAGTAACATGTCACTATTCATATACACTATAGAAAAAAGGTAGGGTATATGAATGTACTGTATATGAATATTGGAAACTGGCATAATTTTGATTAATGGATTCTTGATCACTAGCTGTGATACATAAAAATGACTTTGTAGCATTGAATCACTGAATCGCCTCATCAGAGATGACTGAACACAGATGATGAGGTCAATCAACCTGATGAGTGTCTAGCCTGGTGAATAGAACACAACACCTCTGGGCCTTCTGTATGTTGAATGCTGGACAGAATCCATGTACTTTTGCTCACCTGCTGTGCCTGCTTTCTTTAGACTCTGAAGAGCACAAGAGATTGTGACACAGCCCCATATGGTACTGTCACAGCAGGTACCCTCATGATCAATCCTGTTGATGTCAAATCTTATCCACTTCTAGCATTTACTTATAGATAGTAAATAAAATGTATGTGTGCCTACAGCAGAAAAGATTCTGTCATTTATACTGTATGATATCTTTTATCAGAAAGTGATGTTTCTTGTGATGCTCAGTTTATAACAATACTTTTGTGCACACAGATTGACAATTGAAGAACACATTTGTAATCTGTATTCTTCAGAAATATGATCATTTTTTCAGGTGTTCAATCACGCCATTTATCATTCTAACTTTACACTTCTAATAGTATAATCAGGAATTTTAAAACTAATAATGGACAATACACCGCAAATATTTCTTACATGCTACACATTTAGCATATTAAAGCAACTCGGGCAGGAAAAAAAATTATAGTAGTATATAATAATAAGAATCTGGATGAAACATTAGCCATCAAGCTTCCAATATTTCTGCAAATGCTGATAGTAAACACAAGAGCACATTCTGCCATGGCAGCTTTAATATGATTGTTTAGTAAACTGGGTGAAATTGATTGCTATGCAGCTTCAATTGCAAAGCTTAGTGTATAGAGTTACACTCCTTATGCAGTACATACCTCTTTCACAGCACTGCTGCTCTCCCCTTTGTTGCGATGTTGTGAAACTATCAAAAGATTCCAGAGCCTCCACCTTTGTTGGCATAAAAGCTTGGTTCCTCTCACACCTTCTGTTAGAGTATAAGCACAGCATGTTCACTTAGAGAAGTAATCTTTAAACTTGTTTTTATTTGATGCTGCTGTATTTAAATAAAATCTAAAGGATTATTTAAAAAAAATAAAACCTTGAGTAGTATGTTGAGCAGTAATGTTTCAATATAAATCTACATGAGTGCAGTAAATGCATTGTTAATACATTTCCCCAAATGGGACAATAAAGCTTGCATTGAATTTGAATTGACCACTTTTTAGAAACAGCAGCAAAAGCAGTGTTTCTAAAGTCATGTCTGCTGCTTCAAATAATATTTACAGAGATGTGTGTCAGAAGACTTTGTGATGCTGTATGAGGTGTAGCTCATACCAAATCACATGAAACAACTTTGATTGTATTGTATGTATAGTTCTAGCATGAAATCAACAGTGTTAAATGCAGGCAGATACTGTACCTTGAACCAGTCGGCATTCCATCATTCTGTTTATATGAGAACCGGTGAAGGTCTACAGCTCCAGTGTCATTAGACATTTTCATCTAATGCAGAATAACATTGTGAAGGATAATAAGAAAAAATGGACAAAGCCGTCAGGATTATGATGTGCTATGTGTTTTACATGACAGTAAAGCAAGAAAGAGGTTTCCCATCAATGGAATTAATTCTGCAGAGAAACGTCATACTTTGATTTGAAGATGGCAAAATATTAAGTGCTACAGCACTGTTAGCTACTCTGGGACTGTCTAATGTCTTTGCCAAATAAGTCACTGTTTGATTTAGAATGTAAGGGTTACATTTACCCTTAAACTAAAACCATTAAACTTTATGATAGTGGCACCAACAACACATCCAGTCCGATGAAGATAGCTGAACATATATCCTTTAAATGAGCTACAGATGTTGTACAGCTACATTGCTGACTGGGCCTTATGATCCCTGTGGTCATAAAGGCTCTGCTGTGTTACTTTCTGTTAACTTTACCTTCAAACGTTTGACAGGTGTTTCTGCTAGTGATTCGGTCCTGCTTTTAAGATCACTAAGGTATGAAGAAAAAATGGATTCTGGATTCTTAACACTTCGCTGTACCACCACCACACCAACCTTGCCTAAGAATACAGAATTAATCATGAACACTAATCTCTTGTCACTGCTCATTTAAACTTTTACTATTTAGTAACCATATCAGTTCTAAATTGAATAATTCAGTAAAACACTGAATACTCCCCAAAACTCACAACAGAAAGACTATATCAGACTTATCACAGAGAAAAGACCCTCATAAAATAAACTTCAAAACCAGAAAAGATTACATGTTCATGAGGTTATTTATTTATATATACTTTTAAGGACTTAAGGTTTCTCCTTTGGCAGATATCAAATCTATTTGTAGCCTACTATATGTACACACACGTCATTTAAATAAGAATAATACCTACAGCAGTCATGTCCACACTGCTCCTTGTTTTTACAGTAATGGTTGCATTGTCTTATCCCAGGATCACGGTAGATGATCTCTTTGGAAGAACCTTTGTAATTTAAACCAAACAGCATAAAATAAGGCGAGGGGCACATGATTACATCATTTCGTATACTATATAAAGATTAGACCAAAGTGTAGCAGCAGTATGGTGACTGCTGTTTTGTTGTAAAGCTGGGATTAAATCTAAACTCCATTTCACTCACAAATGTGAAATGGAGTTTATACTTGATACTTGCTGGCGTCTCTTCTATTCAATGACAAACTCTCTTCCGTTTCAGGATTTGTTATTTGCACGTGGCAGATGGGTGATACATTTGATTTAATCTAGGCCTTCTAGTGCCCTGACATAATTATGACACTAATAAAAGTTTGTTTTTTAGTCAAGCAATGACTGAATGGCAATGGAATGACACTGACTCCTTAAAGGCTCACTAAATTCTGTTCTTCAGATAATATATCTGGTAACCTTCAATCATAACTCGTGCCTAATTTTACAGTGTGCATCGTATTTCTGTTTCCTCTTTTTTATATCTGTTTTGAGCTGTCTAATAAATGTCTCTTGAAAGAGCCTGTTTATGCCAAACACAAGAAACTGTGGCTTAGTGACTGTTTTTAATAAAGGCTTTGTAGACCTCAAATTAACTTTAAAATGTAAGACTAAAGTTTTGAATCATACTTTAAAAAAAGAGACAATGTTTTCCATTAAATAGTTTGTCATCATTTAACACGTCTTTAAGCATTATTGTGAAATAACCCTTTCCTTGGAAAACTCTTTAGTATACAATCATACTCTGTAGTCCACTTGCAGGTAAAGAGACACCCACACACCTCTGTCCGGAACAGGCTGTGCTGAGGCAGTCAGGGCACATGTCTCAGCTGTGGCCGGAACACTGTGCTGCTGCTGGCTCTGCCAGCTGTTCACATGAGCTCTAAATCTCTTTGGACCCGAGTAGAAAACACTGTATGTCTGCTGAATGTCAAGTCCCACTATATAATTGGGAATACCAAAATACAGGTCATTATTTTATAACATTTTTATGATGTTTCTTTAGTCAAAACAATCTTACGAGACATATTACAGTTTCCACTTGGGCAAATACTCAATACTTAGTCAAATAGTATAGCACTCCCAAATACGGCAACGTAGTATTATATTTTAAAGCTCAAGGTCATTAGGGGGACTTTAAATCCCATGGCATTTTTCCATATCAGTCTTTCCACTTATACCTTTTCTAGCTGAATATGGAAACCATTAAGAATTGGCTAGGATGACATGTGGCCTCTGCAATCAAAAGATGACATCATAATAATCTGTGTACTAAACTGCAAATATCACAGAGTCAATCAGCCCAGACAAGCACAATACGTGGTGTTTCTGAAAGAAGAGAAGAAACAACTTAACATGTGTTCAGGGCACTAAATAATCCTTGATTTTTTCAGTTGAGTTAAGATTAATTGTTGTGATCAGATCCAACAATCATTTGTATTCCTCAGTTCATATTTGAGATTCTTTGGCTTGAAAATGAGAGCCATTCTCGTGAAACTAAGCCCAGAACATAGCTTTTATTGTTGAAGGCCAAATTCCTCATTTTTCCCCCAAAACATTATAATCATTATTCTTTTTTGGCATGAAAATTAAATTAATTAAATTCAATACCACCGCTTCAGGATTCTGTTATTAAGTTCTGTTCTAACCTGTCTTAAAATGTACTAGAGTCATGTTACATCAAACTGCACTTGTCAAGAACTCAGATAAGATAGACCCACAAGCCACAACAAATCATAATGGATTGGTTAAATCTTAATACTTTAATAACTATTAGGTGGAATATGAAACACCTAAGGCTGCCGCCTCCAAATATTAAGATAACTACTGCACTCTATAGGGTACTGTGAGAGCTGAATTGTTTTGTATCCCATGACTGCTGGCAGACAAATTAAAAATAACACAAACATTATTATGGATTGATTATTAAGGATTTTTTCTTTTCATTTTGAGATTACCACTAAGTGTATATGTGTGGTTGTCGTCTCTTTCAGTAAAAGGTTTTCAGACATGTACAGCATTTTATAGATAATCACCTGCTGTATAGCCTGGTTATAGGTTATATTTACCTGCAAATATGAAGTAGTATGCTCAAATATTGCATATTTAATTATCTGAAGGAGGGAAGTAAACAAAAATTGGACTTACCATACTCTGAACTAATAAGGTTCACACAAATTTGTTCGTCTGCATGTGCCCTTGTAATCTCAGTTTTTTTAGACCAGCTCCCTGATCTCAGTAACAGGGAATCACTGATACGAAAAAAACAGTCAGACATAACACTTCTTAAAATGTGCATACAGTACATTCACATGTAGTTTTTTAACATTCAAATACACTCTTGAAATACTTACGTGAGTTTCTGATGGAAAAGCACTTGATTATCAGAATCCCCTATAAGCAAACTGACATAATGGTTGTCTGGGGCTGTTCTCTTCAACAGCAACTGCTTGTAGTTTGTTAAGATGACTGTGATAATCACCTCTGCAGTTGAAACACTATATTTTGGAACCTAGAAAAAAAACATTTAATTTTATGATTATTATTAAAACTAGACAAAGAACCACAAAAATACTGGATTTGGAGACTCACTTCCAAATGCTAAAATGAAAATTCAAAACATATGTTGGTTTATTCATGTTATTTTTCAGATGTAGTTTAAAAAACAATACCTTATTTAAACTTCTAAACTATATCAAATGTTACATAACTTCTTTCAATATCAGAAGAGCCTGATTACCTGTTCCAAACTGACTTCGTACTTTGGAAGGTGAATGACAGCTTCCCTTATTTGGTTTCCAAAAGGAGGATGTCTGTTCACAATCTGGAAAAAATACTTCACACTTAATTGTGCAAAATGTCTATGGATGAAATTAAATAGAACACAAAAAGCACCGAACACAGAGAGGAGAAATTAAAAGCACATGAAGGTGAATGTGTGTGAAGGTGGTTCTGCATTTAATGCACTCAGACATTGTCAAGTGTCATTCAAAGAGAATATACTGCTGTTACATATTAAAAACAAATGAAATACACATTTTTATTAATGCATAAATACCAGCTCCAGTTCTCTTGCATTTATTTCTTCAATCTTCTGAAATGATGTCAGACCAGCGTTGACCATTGCTGTTGATAGCGTTAATCCTAAAACACACCCAAAAAAATTGATATTGAAAGCAAGTAAAAAGCATTGTGTAAATATAATCAGATTTTTCCACTTTTATCTAAATATGAGCATATATGTCAAATGAGACAGACTAGCCTGCAAATCTGCCCACATTTAAAAACAGTGAGCACATCTGTGACTCTCTTGACAGACACATGTCAGCAACATGCTGTTGATCCTGTTTATCCATGTGGCAGTGCGGTGTGAGATATACATTTTACGAAGTGTTACAATGATTCTGGGTGGGGCAGAGAATTCGGCCTGGTTTGTCCATAGTGTAGTGAAAGGTAGAGAATTTTTTGCTTTTCATAAATAAAAACACAGGTCATGCTAGTAACATTGTTTGTAGTCTGTGCAGACCTTAATGTTACCACTTACCCTTTGAAGATATTTTTTAATGACTTACTGAGTTCTCTGGCACATTGATTGCCCTTATGTAATTCTGGTCTGGTTTTGAAAATAGTCTGTAACAACTTCTAAAAATGGTGCTGAATAAGTCTCTGGTGAGGACCGTCTTGGCAATTCTGTTGCACAAAGGTATGCTCTGGCTGTCCACACTGATTACAGAAAAAAATGCTTTTGGCATTTTGGATTCTTCTGCTTATTGAGTTTCTTATCTATTTCAAGTAAATGACTAAATTGGCTGTGTAGGTACTCCAGCGATGGAAAATGGGCATCCACTGTGATTGATTGAAAACCAGATTCTTATGGATTCCTTGATCTGGCAACTGTTTTCAAAAACAGATGTATGTCAACTCTCACTATAAAAGGTTGTTTTAAAGTAATATTTCAACATGTGCAGGTTGTTTTCATTCCTAAACTTTAAAATTCTGAACCCTACTAGGGACAAGCAGCAAAATGCAATGAAATAAAAGACTGTTTTAATTATTTCTTTTTAATTACTCATCCATTAGTTAAAAGTTATTAGTATTTCATGGTAACCTTTCCTAGGACCCCTGGTTAAACAACAAAAAGCCATCAATATAAAGCTTGCTTTATATTTTGCAATTGAATCAAAGTTTACTCTGGACTTCAGCTGTGGTACAAATAATTTAAAATGTTTCTTTACATGTTTTATTTGCAGGTTGAGTGTAAACAGAACAAATCACTTTTTGCTTCTATAGTGTTTTCAAACCCACTTATCAACATCAAATAAAAATTCTAACGGTTAATGTGTGGACGATTATATTGAAACAAGAGTAAACAGGTGCATGAGCAAAAGTGGATCAAAAAGACTGCAGCATGTTTAAGGATAACAAATCTAGTGGAAAAGACTTGTACAGTAAATATCCTCTTCCTTACTAAGGATGTTATTCACCTACCTATTTTCTCCAGTTGCTTTGAAACAAACGGTGAGTTCTCCCATAGCCTGGAACGAAAACACTTGGCCAGAATCAAAGAATTGAGCAGAGCAGAGAAGTTCCTCTTGGCTTGATGGCCAAGAATCTCCGACAAACCTACACACAGGAATGCATGTTGAATACATACATATCATTGTTGTAAAATGTTTGAATGTAATAAGCTCACAGAACGAGGGAGTGTGAGAAAGACTTTTTTATGTAAGTTGTGGTAAAATGAAAATATTTAATTTCTGATAACACAGACAAGATGTGTTTAAATAAGAATAAAAGCAATTACATTTAGTTACTCTGGTTCCATTTCTGAATATTTTCCCTATATCCTGCGTCAAACCAAATTCTTGAACTGCGATGCATCCAAGTTGAGCCTGAATTAAACTGAGAAAAAAACCAATCAGTACTATAACATACAATAATTACAGAATATGAAAGAACTCACAAAATAAAAAAAACAAGCTGATTCGGGACACTGTGTATACACACTGTAGGTCAATGTTTTACTTTTAAGTTTTTTAAAACTTACCAATTAACTTTCATTTCATTGGTTTTAATCTTTCCCTCGATTGGGTACCTAGCCACAGTTAGAAAAAATAACATTAAAAAGACATTGAAAAGTTTTACTATTGCTTTAACTGGCTTCATCTCCTTTCTCTTACCTGATCGTTACTCTGTTTTTATCTTTGTTCAGCGTGTTCAGAGTTCTCTTCTCACTCACTCTTAACTGCACATCAGAAAACTCTTTCCCTTTGGATATCAGTCTGATCTGTGACAAACTACACATGTCAGTATGCTTTTTTGTTTTTCTCCTTGAATTTACTTTAATTTATAGACTAAAAAAAAGCATATAACCTAATTACAATTAACTAAAGGTATAACATCGGTTCTGTATTTGAAATGCAATTACATTAATGTCCTTACTGTGTACTTACCAGGTCAGATAATGTTTCTGTTCCAGAAACTAAGGTGAACTGCTTCATGGTGTCATAGGCAATGCAATACCGTGCCATAATCTTCCCAGTCTCTGTAGATAATGTTGGTAAACATTATGATAAAATTATTTAATTACAGCAACATCTTGACCTGGGGGCTTCATGAAGGACAAGTGACTACAACCAATTCTTTTACATCCAACTTGCCAGTTAGTACTGTGGCACTCCTATATTTCTGCTTTTATATGAAGAAGAATGTTCTCTGAGAGAAATGTTACTTCAGGTGCTATCATGCAAATTAATTGAATAACAACATTGATTATTTTCAACATTGTTCCAAAAATGATGAAATGGCTTTGTCTGTGGTTGCACTGCAGTGTTGAAATGCATCGCCGTAGTTTTGTGTGCAGCCAGCTCTCCTTCACTAAAGTTTAAATAAGTACCAGGTTGCAATACCAGTTACAGCCATAATAATTTACAGATCCACCGCTGACAGATGTTCTGTAGAAAGTACTGGGGTACATATCATATCAGTGCTAACGGAACTGTTATGATGTGGCTTAAATGGACAAATGTTAGAAATATTATCTGAAAATGCAAATGAGGAATTAAAACTGTGCTGAAATGAAGGCTGGCCTGTGGGCCTTTACCAGTAGTTTTAAAATTTATGTCTTCATCCATGGTAATCAGGCCAATTGAAGACAGAGCATTCAGATTCCTCAGACAGAGCTCTGAAATGAAGGAAAAGAAAGAACGTATCTTAACCCTAGTGTCATGAATGCTACAGATATGAAGGAGAACAGGCCAAAAAAGGAATTCGTTTGCTGGTTTTTTTCCCCCGCATTATAGCGTTATGCAAGATCTCCACACACCCAAAAATAAAATACACATTTGAACTGCTAATTCTTAAATTAAATTAAACAGAAAACATGTACCTTGCAATTCTGCTTCTATTCCAGCTTTGTTTAATGCAGGAGGAAAACCTATAAAGAATGAAGAACATAAGAAACCATTTCACATCTTTTTTTTCTGATGCATTACGATGAATTTATGGAATTGTATGCTTTGGGAAAATGGCTTTATGGAATGCAGTACACATACCATAATAGCTGGGGTTCTTCAAGGCTCTGATGTACAGGAATGTAGAACGTATCCAATCCAGTGCACCATTTACATCAGAGAACGTGTGAAGAACTATCTCTGCGTTTAAATGTTCAACCAGGTGTTTGTGCAGGCTGAACGACAGCAAACGAAAATCAGTTGTCTTTGATAAGCTCATGACGCTCACTTGAGTAAAACTGCAGTTTAATTTCATTAGCAGTGTATACAGATGAAACGAAGTTCTCTGCACATTTTAAAAGTCACAGCACAGCGGTACTGAAACAGAAAAATGTATCGTTCCAAACTGGCGAAAACTCACCTGCTTTCAGTTGTTTCATCTCCACTTACGAGATGAGTGTATCTGTCTTTTGTCTGGGATCTGGTCATAATCACTGCTGTAGCTGTGGTGTCAAACTAAAAATATATGTACATTCATACATTTATACCGTATATACATGGAATTATTGTCATTCCATTAAATACAACTGACTAGTTTTATTAAACAAAAGCATTTTTCTAATTTAGAGACCTATGATGTCATGCTTGATTTTTGGTTTTTGTATTTGATGCAGTGCAGAGCTCTTAAGAGCTCCAAAGCAGACTACATTTTTTAAGGAAATGTTAAAAAACAGGTACCAGGAATGCAACAGGAATAGTCAAACCAGAATTGTCTTAAGCCTGCAAGATTTAATATTTCTAAAGAATGCCATTGTCTGTGCACTGTATACATGGTGGAATGGCTTGGCTGAACTGTAATGTACCTGGGGCCTCCCAGCTCTTCCTATCATTTGAAGGATGTCTGTTTCACTGTACTCCTGAAACATGCCTCCTACGTAATGCATGGTGGACTTGATCACCACCAAGTGAGCAGGCAGGTTCACTCCCATAGCTAAGGTGCTTGTTGTAACTGTTTAAAATTAGAACACAGGATAAATCGTACACATCTTCTTTTCACCGCGCTGCATTATATCATTGCTCGATTTGATTTTATGGAGGTCTTGACCAAATGCTTGACAAATTCAAGAGTGACCACTTTAAGGTAGTGTTTTTTACAGATAAACACATGCATAAATCTAGTTCCCCTGGCTTTAAATAACTTTAAATAACATAAATCACCTTGCTTAATTCTAGAAATATTCACTGCTTAACTTATAAATCATTTCTTGGCTTTGGACATAGCAGTATATCTGCAGAACTGCATTCCAGCTAATGTGAGTCTCGTGCACTTAATAATTGTAGCTACTGAAATGACCCTGCAAGGCTGGAATAAACTCCCAGAGAATATATAGATCAGTATTTTGGATCAATTTCTCTTCCGTTCCTATCTTGCACATAGTACTATCCATATTTTTTGTTTTTAATACCTAATGTCTCCTAATATATTATTTTTTTGACTTGTGACTTCTCCACCTTTTGGAGCAACTAGTTCAGTTTTCAAGAGGATTTGTAGTTGTTTAAAGGGGAACTGAATTGCTGTTTTTAAATTTCTCAGTTAGTAAGAATCAGCATTGATGAATGTGTTTCAAACCACAATAAAAGTAAAATGTAGACAGTAACTTGTAAAACCTCCCGTTTACATCTCAAAATAGATGAAATATCCAAGTATGGGCACTGCCGTATTCTGTGATTCAGAACGAGGCAACAAACCATCCTGTAAAGTTATGCGGGCCTACGACATTGTAAAAGAGCAGGCTTGTGAAAACATCTCTTTTAATCCAATAGAATATTGCTCTCAACTTTGAGGCACTTTTGCCGGAAAATACTACTTACTTGTTAACTCTGCATGCATATCACGTTGGAATATTTCTGCCTGTACTTATTTGCTCGTACATCACATTACATGAGTCATTACTGTGACTAGCGAGCAAGAAGGGCCGCATCACGTCACAATTTGTGGTAACTCACACACAATCTGTAAATCTCAAAATCTGAAATATTTTTCTACACCATCAATTAATTTAATTTGTTACAGAGATTTAATAACAAGTCTGAGAAACTGGGACTGCAGTTCCCCTTGAAAGCATTTAGTTACATGGGTAAATGTGACATCAAAATGTATTTGTGTTCTCTGTCACACATTCATAAAAGGCCCTTCTGAATTTTCAATCAAGTTATTAAAAATGCAATATTCTTGAGAGGTTTACTCACAAAGTACTGGTAGGTCTCCCATGGTAAAAGCACCTTCAATTAATTTTCTGTCAGACAAGTCAATGCCAGCATGATGGAATCCTATTCCATACATCACTAGATCTGAAACATATGTATAGGAAAAAAAATCTGTAACAGCTCCTAAATGTGAAAAAGAAGGCAAAAATAATTTAATGCTTTAAATTTCTATTACCAACCTCTTAGTTTGGAGTCATGAATCACGTCTGCATACTTCATCAACCTGAAAAAGCAGTGACATCTTTTCATCTGTGATGATCACAATTAAATTAGATTTTCATTTTAGATTAACGGTATATTAATTCGAACATATAAATATTCACACTTTTGCCACTGGAATGTAAAAAAACCCCAACAGAATTCATGCCAAAATGAAGATGAACAAACATCAAAGTCTAAATATAAATCACCTTTGTTTGTGTTCAATGCTCATTATGAATCTGGCATCCTTGGCAAGAACAGATGCAGACTGTTGTACACCCTTCCTTGTTGCACAAAACTAAAAAGGAGACAAAATGAAAAGTTTATATTTCTGCTTTGAGCTTTTTTAAATAATTCAGAACAAAGTAAAATACTAATGATTACCACAAGTGTTGGTTTCTGATCAGAATAGGTCTGGATGATGCTTGCTATTTTGTAATTAAGAGACAAATCAAACTTAAATTCAGTTTGATTGCTGGAGCAGGGAAATCCAAGCACAACTTTTCTTAACTTCACAGGCCTGTGTTCTTCATCCATTTCCAAACAAACGGCCGGCTCACCACCATCTGACAGCCAATCCGCAATCTGGAAATAAAAAAAACATTCCAAAATACCCATGTGAATACAAATAAACAGATTTCAACATCTTGTGCATTGCAGTAATTAAAAGTGGGCTTAATTTCAAATGTAAGCAATAAAAGCATACTTCCCACCCTATCAGGGAATGTGCATTCATATTTAAAGAAAACCACAAGGTAAAACAGGGCTCCATCGAAAAAAGGTAATTGAGCTTTCATGATAATTATGTCTAAAACGAGAGGATGTGGTGGATGTGGTGAGGTTGTTAAGAGTTAAATGCCAAATTCCATATCCACAAAGGACATGCCAGTTGGCATCACTCTTGGCAGTTTTAAACACCTTGAGAGGTGAAGAAAAATGTTTCCAGAAGGTTGATCAAGTACCACCCCATGCATTTTTTAAAAGGGAGAAATCAACAGCGGCATACTGACATCTTTGATGTTTGGAATTGTTGCAGAAACAGCCACGAATCTCACGGAGGTCTTCGATTCTGGGGTTTGTGCACCGTGAGAAAGGGAAGAACGCATCGCCTTCATCCTGCTCACTACCACCTCGAGAGTTGCCCCACGAGTTTCATCTTTTACAACATGGACCTGAAAGAAGAAGTTTCCCATGCATGCCTGTGCTGAAATACATAGATTTTACTAAGTTTTTAAATAATATACAGATGGCATTGCTTAAGTAGTCTTATGCTGATTGCATAAATTATACTAATGAACTCTACTGGTGTGGATCCATACAAAAATAACAAACACAGTACAGTACATAACCTAAATCAAAAGCAATTACATTTCTGCTTTGCAGGCTTTATCACTGACCTCATCTATAAGGAAGAGCCTAACCAGCTGGACCAAACAATTACCACTCCACTTCCTTGTCATGCTGTCCCATTTTTCCTTGAAAGAGACAAAAAAAGCACAGCAAGTGGATTTCAGTCCGAGAAGCCAGGAAACCAAAAAAGTATTAATTGTGCACACAGCAGCCATATTTGCGTTATTGTGCTCCAGTGTACCTTCAGACATGAAAAGATGATGTACTTCCTGAGTCGGATTAAAAGAGTCACTTACTGGCGTAGTCATGATGAGATGAGCATCTTGAATCTCAAAGAAGTCATCAATTTCTGTATCCCCTGTGAGCTCCTTACAATTCAACCCTAAAGGCCCAAATTTTTGTTTCCAGTTTTCATAACGTTGACTGCAGAGGGCTTTAATTGGTGCCACTAAAGGAACAGGACAGAAGCCATAAGCTCTTATGAGATGGCATTTCTCATAAAAGCAATCTATACAAAAAATCATGTTTCCAAACATTTTGCTCTCATAAAGGCAATAGACAATGATCACTAGCTTCCCTTTAAGCCCTGAAATGTTTCTTGTAGCTGTTTATTGATTCTGTGTACTTGAAAGTTTTCCTTTTTATGCCTGGTTAAAATAAATGGGTGGAACAGGGCTTGGATGTTCTACTAACACAAATTGAATTTGAACTTGAATTATTTGATTGTTAGAATAAACAGACACCTACTGTATACAATCTTAATGTGGGACCAGGGCGCTTGCTCTTCCATCAACAGTCGGATAATCACCAGCTCAAACAGTACTGTTTTTCCAGAGCCCGTTGGAGCACAAGCAACAAAATTTTTACCAGTGTAAAGAAGCTGAAAGAATTAACAGTTAGTCAGGACTGAGACGAGAGCCCTTTAATCTTTTTACTTTCAAAGAAATAATATAAATACACACACACTTACGTCATCCAGTGCTTTAGACTGGATATAATTGAAATAGGGGAATTCTTTGAAAACCGATCTGTATTGTGCAGCTAAACAGATAATATCAAGGCTTAAATAATTATAGCAAACCGATCTATTTTAAAAAGTGTTCTAAAACTCCATATATTGTATTCTGAATTTACTGTATTTCAACACAAAACAGGTTTAGCAGTTACAACAGATGCAGATGCCAATAAAATACTGCAGGTACCACTGAGCCCAGAAAAAAAATGTGAATTATACTGTGTAACAGATACTTAATTTACAACCACAGTGTAATAGAAAGCCTGGAGAACAAACTCGGAAACACCTAGGAAAGAAAAATGGACGAACTGTAATATTCCTCTTTAAACAGAAACGGCAATATTCCTAAGAGTTCGGTTTATGGAGAGCTTGTTTATTTTTAAAAAAGATTGGGAAATCCTGTGCAACATCTACCAGTAGTTAAGTGTACTGCACCAGTTGGCATGCCGTTGCAACTGGCCGTCTTTAAAATATATTACACGCCAGCCCAAACCTAGATGATGACCCCATTGCGCACTCTAGAGGAGAGAGACGGTACTGTTTCACCAGACGCTAGTTGCCTGCCTCTGCCTCGCCAACATTTCAGGTCTGTAACTCACAAATATTAAGATTTCCTTTAAAAATAACTGAATATAATACTTTTTTATATAAAACCTAATACAATGATGACAAGAAAAGGCGCATTACTAAAAAGGATTACTAAAATTATCCCATAATCTATGAGGGGGAATGAGAAATAAAAAGAAATAATGTGAAAACCAGCTCTAGTCATTACAAAAGGCATTAATTTCTTTAAATCGTTATTTGTAGAAGGATACGGATTTCAGTCACTGCCCGGAGGACTCCCGACTCCATGCCTAATCCACCTATAAATGAGAAATTATATATCCATAAATAAATTATATATGCATTACCAGATGGATACATTAGTTAGAACCAGCCAGTAATTCCTGTCTCTGCTGCACGAAAAATAAATTAACATCAAAGAAAAATGTTCTTAAAAGAGCAAGTTTAGGAGGTTTAATATTTGATGATGTTAGATCTCTGCATATGCATCTATGAAAGTGGTAGTCAATAATCTCTTAAGAATATTAATGCATTTAGCATGCAGTGTTTGTTAATATTAAAAATTAAAACAGACAGAGAATATACATTTTAAAAATAATTTTACATATTCAAGGGCCATTTAATGCAATACAGAGGGAGTTCATGAACTTCTCAGCAGTGCGCACTAGCTCTCAAAATAGCTGTAGCACGCCACCTGCTGGCAACAGTGTCCACTGCAGCCTGGCATACAAAGGCGACTAGCATCTGGTATAACAAAAAGGTCTATTTTACATGTCATTAAAGATTCATATTGCAAGCCTTTTAACTTAAGCTTTAAAAAACCTTTATGTGCTGCACTGAAGTTTGTTTAATACAGCCAGGCTCTTAGTTTTCCACTGTGTTTTTAATTGCTCAGCACAAGACAGATTTTGAGAAGTAGTGTTGTAACAGTTCCCTTAGAAGCCTCGAGTATTAATTGCCGGTTCCTTGTTTCTGTTGTTGTTGTTCTCTCGGTCAACACCTTGCTCCAAGCAGCAGGGAGTGAAGAGTAAGCTGTAAATCCTATATTAATTAAACCTCGTTTACAGACCTATCTGGTACTGTGCGTGTCTCTATTGTCAGCTGAGATCCAGCACTAATAAACAGGTGTTGAACTGAGCAGCTCCTTTGTGTGAAGTTTATTACGGGCCCTGTTTGGAAATCGGTGTGAAAGCGCTCAAGTTCAGCGATTTGAACAGGAAACATGCTGTCCAAGGCAGGCAAAGACAGGAGGCTGGCAAGGGACTCAGGAAAGAGCTGACAGCCTCGCCGTCAGAAGCCTCCTCTCTCACCTGGGGATGACAGAATGTCATGGAAATATTTTCTCGGCTTTACAAATACATTAAACACATGTTCTCCATCATTCTGCCTCAAATAATTAAAACCAAATGATTCCTTTCACCCTATCACTCAGTACTGATTCAAAGCACACAAGCCACATCACAAGGAATTCAAATACCTAAAGGCTCCCCTTCAAATAACAAATTCTGTTGATTATATCAAAAGAATACAACCACATTGTGGTTTGTGAAAAATAATTAAAATAAAGAGGTGATTTAAGTAAAAGAAAGACTGATAAATGTAAAAAGTGTCAATTTTCCATTATAAATGAAAGAACAAAATGATGGACGTTTGACACAGTACAGTATATAATGAAAGTCATAATGTAGATGCAATCATACCTTATATAACTACAGACTCATTACTATATGAATAAGTTGATTTTTAAAACTTAATATTTTTAAAAGATGTTAGTCTCCAAACTATTAAAATAGTATAAGAATATGAATCTCCAAAAATCACAACTCTAAAGAGCCCTGTTTGTAACTCACTGCAAAAAAAAATCTCAGATTTTGGATTCAAATTAAAACAAAATCTTTAGTAATGCCTTACTGTTACAATATTACTTGCAAAAGTAATGAAATGAAAAAGCGGGAATGAAAAAGTGAATGTTACTCTCATACTTTTTAAAGGCAAATCTCCTCAGGTAAAACCACGAACTCTGTAATCTTTAATATTTTTCTTGTGCCCTATGATTTAAACTTCTGGTTTTCAGTCTCTTGCTTTGTTAGCTGGCTGCTCTATAATGATGTAGTTTTCTGTGAAGTTCCAGTATTCCAGCTCCAGGCAGCAGCTTAGCCTTCAGTATACAGGATCAGAAAAAGAAGTGAGCAGCCGAAAATGGAGAAAAATGGCCTGCAGTACCCCAAGGTATGAAATAAATTGTAGATGATAACTGGAAAATGTAAGTCACAAACGGCATAATAAATTCTAGGAGATCTTATATTCTTTCAGGAGACCAAAACCAAACTTTGGTACACATGCTTGGCAGGCCATTAAAAAAATTATTTCATGCTCTGAAAACAGAGAGCTAATGTCACATCTGATTTTTTTCTGAAAGCGAAGTCTTCTGCAGCACGTACACTGACTATAGATACAGCACATGGAGTTCTCTGTAATACACACAATGGTTAGTCAGGTCTTACCTCGTACATTAAGTGGCTGTGGAGTCAAGGGAAGGACATGGGCTGTTTTTGTGCTCTGTTTTGCAGCTGTGGAAGCACAACCACCCGAAGCACACGGACCTCTTATAGAGCTCTGAGAGTTATCAGCAGATGTCATGAAAGCCTCCTGTGACACCTTAGTAACTCCATCATTAAAGCCATTGCTTCGGGCTCCTCTCTTCACGACTGAAGGGCAGTGCTGTCTGTCTGAAGCTGAGGCAGTCTGGGGACATTTAAACAAGCTGGAAAACATATATTAAAAATCATCTCAATAAATTTAATTGACTTAAGTGCAAACTTGACGTATCACAGAAAATAAAGCTTTGGAAACAACCAGCCATTTTCATATCAAATTTAACAATGAAACACATTGAAAACTGCTATATCTGTTTTACAAATTCATTCCTAAACCAATTCCATCACTATGCATCTCTTTACAGGAAAATAAAAGCTGGGAAGTCCTGGGGCAGCACAATGGCAGTAGTGCTACTGTATCTGTTTTCTGACTCAACAATGCATCAAAATGTGAATGGCGAAGAACGACCTGAAATTAAGCAGGTAAAAAGTGGTTTAGGCGTCTTCATTGAGGCAGTATTCTGGAAACAGGAACAAATAGAATTCTATAGACATTTATCGCTATGCTGATGATACCAGTTTAAAGCATAGTGAAGTAAAAGTGCAAATTTACCCCTGGACTTCAATGCCGTTCAATCATTAAAAAGACCATAACTCAACTATTTGAGGTTTCTTTAACCCAAGGCAAAAAGTAAAGCACATCAGCCCAAAATACCAACATCAAATACACTACACGTAAGCATTATTAAAAAAAGAGCAGCACCTTCTCCTTAACTGTGAGCTTTCTCCATTGTTAGATGTTTTCTCACCAAACAGCTGGTCTGAACGCTGAGTTTTAGGTACATTACTGTTTTCATCTCGATCAAGATGTGAATCCTCCTTTTCTAATAAACTGAAGGGTCCTATTGTCTTTTGAAAATCACTGCGTTGAGCAGAAATATTTTTAGTCCCATCTGTTTTTTTCAAAGGTGGTATGAATTTTCTTATTGTCTGTGAAGAACCTGTGAAGAAAAACATAAACTTCTATATTTTAACAGCACAGCACAATTCATTTACTATTATTCATGCATTCTGGATTATACAGAGGTGGTCATGAACTTTAACCTTTCTGTTTTCTATTTTATCATTCTTTGTATGGATAAGAAAAAATAAATGAGCATAACCCAACCTCACTTCATTACGAGCTGTTCTCACTTACCTGGGACGTCTCTGATTGATAGGAAAATGGATATCAGCACTAAACTAAACACTTTGATTTGCTATCCTGATATATGTCAATGCTAAGCAGAGCTCGCAAGCTTATCAGGGCCAGCTCACACTTCAAAAAGCAACAAAAAAAAACATTTTTCATGAGCGAATATTTATCAGGAAGATCAAGAGTCATAAGAGGTAGCTCAAAGAGACGCATTCTGTAGACATATGTCCCGAGAAGAAATAACTAGGTAAGAATTTAGATTCCAAAGGAATGAAACAGGCAGACTTTTCTATTATCTTGTTTGCAGAGGCATCTGGAGACATGACAAAAACAGATTAAATTTCAATGGGTCAGCGCATGGGTTTCAGAACTGGAATCCCTGATTTAGGGCATAAATGATTCGTACCGTGCAGCATTCTATTTCAATTTACTAAGGTTATGTTGAATATTAAAGCACGGATCTGTAAAATATTGGGGAAATAGAGCTCTTGTAAAGGAACATTTGGTAAGACATTCACTGATATAAATTTGTATGACTAAAGCATTAACTAGATTATAAATTTGGAATGTGATTGCCAAACCAATTTTGACCTACATGAAGTGGGAAGAAAGGGGATAAAACAGCAATTTTCTGGGTATTACAACTATAATTGTTCATGGTAGAAACTATAATGGGCATTATTTGACCATAATGGAAGCTCTGTCAGCAGTATAAACTTATAAAAACACAGCATAAAGTGCTGAACTGCCAGTAAACCACCAGGAAAATGAGATACCTATGTAAAATTGCACTCTTAATGTAATGGCTTATTAACTTGTGTTCTTGCAGTTTAAAATGATAAACATTCCCAGGACAGCACTTGCTTTAGATCTTCCAATTAAAGAATTTTTAAAATGTACTGTGAATAGTGTCCTCCGTCAAAGACAATTAATTGTATGTCCTTGAAAAATTGGTACTGCAAGCAAAAAATAAACTGAACAAAGATGACGCCTTACTTCTGACCATGTGAAATGGGTTTGTTAGAATGTGTTTGTCTTATTTTACAGAAGGTTTAACTGTTTGCCATAAGCTTGTATTTTATTGAAAGAGGGTCATGTTCAAAACCATTAGCATGCAAACTAATTCTCCAAGGTACAATGAATTTACATAGAATCATTTTCGAGTTTAGTGGTTATTGCTTATGATCTGCACATCTGAAACAACACAGCACAAGCCAGAGTTAAAAAAAGCAACTTACTGTAAGAGCGAAGTGTTACTAATTCCTCCTGCAGTTCCTGAGTACCTGGTATTTCAGACGCCAGTGGCGGAGGTTCAAGTTGCCAAGATCCTTGCCCTTGATATTGTGGTTTTCTTTAGAAATGTGAGAGAAAATATTATTCTTGACAAGGGAACAATTTCTCATAGGTTTACCATTAAATACATGCAAAGGTTTTTTCACTCGTGTTTGTTTTCATCATGTGACCACTGTTTACAAGGGAGGCTCCCAGTTTTTTTGGAGGGACAAACTTTGAAAAAGTAATACTCACGTCTTCTGAGTCACTGGTCCTTCAAAAAACAGACCGTCCAAAGATAATGTGCAGTCTTCGGGTCCCGCCATATTCCTGTTCACAGCAAGATTCCTATCAAGGTCATCTAATTACAAACATACATCAAATCCACTGTGCAGCCAGCAGTCACATTTGATGTTTATTTTGTGCATTTTAACAATGATTAATAACGGAGATTAGCCCTGTTTTGTGTTAAAGGGGAACAGCAGTCCCAATTTCTTAGACCAGTTATCGAGTCTTGGTAACAAAATAAATTCATTGACGGTATAGAAACATTTTACAAGTTTCGAATTAAGCACAAAGTCGAGAACGTTGTGAAAGTGCTGTAAGTTGTCACCGTTGTCGCAAACCCCTGGTCTCACCATGGGTGAGGGCAAGAGCTCCCACAAATTCCAGCTCATTGTAGTGACTAATGTACTGTGAAGTACAAGCGAATAACTACAGGTTGTGCAGCAGATATTTCACTGCAGAAAGTTTCCAATGTGATCTGCATACAGTGTTAACAGCAAAACCATCTTGAAGTCGAGAGCAATATTTCTATTGGATTACAAGAGACGTGTTCACAAGCCTGCTTGCTCGTGGTGGGGCTTGTCTGTAATGTTTAACAGGGCCGCAGCACGTGACTGGAAGTGTTGTTGTCTCGTTCTGAGTTGGAAAACATGGTGCTGCACATACCTGGAAATCGTGTCAATTCTGTGATGCAAACTGGAGGTTTTACTGTGTTAGTTACTGTGTACATTTTACTTTCTTTGTGGATTGAAATGTACTCATTAATGCTGATTCTTACTAACCCCGAACTATAGAAATAGCTTTGCAGTTCCCCTTTAATGCAGTTTCTCTCTCTGATAATTACACTCTGTTGTCACGAAAGCAACTGTCAGGACTCTAAGGTCTGCCCATCCCAGGCAGATTAGTACTACGTTTATATAAAACTGTTTCCTTTCTATATTAACTGAGCTTCATCTGACATTTAAGCAACAGAAATGTACATAAACTTGTGTATACTCTTATCAGCATGCGGTTTATCCATAAATAATAAATAATTGTTAGTTTATTAGAGTATTGAAATATGAATGAGGGTTAACTGTGGTTGTGTTCCTGAAAGCAAAAGTGGTATTAACCACATTAAAATTAAAGTTAAAAAGAGATCTTAATGCATAAAATCCCGTGTTTAAAAGTTACTTGACAAACAGAATTCATCAGCTCCTAAAACTAAATTAGTTCTATGTTCTTCACTCATGAATAATTTAACTTCAAGGCTTAAAGCAGAATTTGATACTGCGCTCTGATAAAAAAATTATTTATACATAAAAATATATTCATATATATACTTATTGATTAGTGCTAAGGGGGCAAAATAAGCTTCTTCACCATAATCTCCACTTCATAAATCCATCTTCACCATGTGAATTATACATCCAACCCTGGTTCCTTTTCTGGCAGCATACATAAATCATCTGAACAGTGAAAATGGATTCATTTATGTCAGAGTTCCCCTCCCCTGATCCCAATATTTAAATATTGCAAGGGACTCCAACATGCTGTAGGTCCATGTTATTATGCTGTGCTTGGCTTTAAACCGTCTTAATAATTCTGCCCTGAGGCCTGTTTGTTTGTCCCGTGTATTTCCTCCTTTTTCAAAAATGTTACAAAAGCGCAGTCTAATTTTGAGGTATTGATAAGCTGGGAAGGAATTGAAAAAAAAACTGACATAAAATGATCACATTCGCTTACAAAATGTGGTGGTTATTGTGGCCTGTGCTTCTAGGAAGGCCTAGCAGACCTTACATTTTTAAAAACCAAACTTCTAAGATTGCATTGCACGCTTTGTAAGCCAATACAACTGGTATTATTTCGCTGTGCAAGGCTGGGTCAATCATTGTTTGTGTCTCTTTTGTGTATTTGCTCTACTGCGCTTTTGCATATCCTGTTGCTGCTGCTGAAACAACAACTAAAAGTTACGTTGTTGCGTTGCAATAGAGGATTGCTCGAAGCGGGCTCTCTTTTGGGGGGGTGAGGGGGGTGGGGTAAAATCTGACAAACGCCACCACGTTTGGAAAAACAAACAACAAAAATAAATGTCTTGTAATTTCCTGCCTCCCCACACCGAGGGCCTGTGTAGCTGCAGTGGGGCAGTTGGCCAGTGACCCGCCTCTGAACCGGCTGTTTGCCCGGGTGGTGATATAGTGATGGCCGTGAACACATCTGCCCTGTTCCGGCGGCAGCAGCCTGGGCGGGTGTGACGTCCCTGCCGCGCGGGCGGGGCCTCGAGCCGCCCGCCGGGCGCGAGCGCCGTTTCCCACCGAGGCCCGGCCTGAGGGAGGCCGTACACGGGGGTGCTACTTTACTACTAGTACTACTAGTACTACTTTACTAGCACGGGTAATACAGCAAGCGTGTCAACAATCAACGCGGTCCCTGCTTTTGTGTCCATTTTCACTTTGTTGCCAATAACTACCCTCCTCTCCCGCCGGCAGCGCTGCTTCAACCTCCGGACTTTCTTATCGGCGTCCTGCCGAATAAGTGCTTGTAAACTGAAAACGACAGAGACGCTTACATAATAATAGAACGTTCTGTGAATATATATCTATACAAGAAATGTGTTATTTTACGTGAAAACGTTCTTGAGGCTGCGGGACGCCGCTCTGCCGCCGTCGGGTCCCGGAGAGCGCGCGCGTCGGGGGGCGCACGCGGTGAAGGAGGGGGCGGCTCGAGAGGACCGTGCTGCAGCCCGGCGCTGCTCCCAGCAACACCAGCAGAGTTCACTGGGGCCGTTTTCATCGCGGCCTGGTGTGATAACCCGGACGCAGTTAGGGAAGAACACCCACTACCGTCTTCTGAAATGTAATAGATGTGTAATCGATCCAGCGCAGCCTTGCACTAACGGTGAATGAGGAGAGGCACTGTTTCCGCTGTATCGTACATTGGCTTTAAACTGAGCACGCTGACTAACAGGCCGGCCTGCTGCCTGGCCGTCCCCCAGGCCTGTCTCCCGGCGTGCAGGCAGAGACCCGGCCCGGAGTCGCCACCTGTGTCTCTGTGAGCCATTCACAGACCCCTGCGCCCCTTCCGCCAGTGTCCAGGAGAGACTGGGGTGACTGGGGACACTGGGGAGATTGGGGTAACTGGGGAGACTGGTGTAACTGGGGAGATTGGGGTGTCCGTGGTGACTGGGGTAACTGGGGAGACTGTTGTAACTGGGGTGACTATGGTGATTGGGGAGATTGGGGTAACTGGGGAGACTGGGGTGACCGTGGTGATTGGGGAGACTGGGGTAACTGGGGAGACTGGGTTGACCGTGGTGACTGGGGTAACTGGGGAGACTGGTGTAACTGGGGTGACTATGGTGATTGGGGAGATTGCGGTGACTGTGCTGATTGGGGTGATGGGGGTAACTGGGGTGACTGTGCTGATTGGGGTGATGGGGGTAACTGGGGTGACTGTGGTGATTGCGGTAACTGAGGTGACTGGGGTGACCGTGGTGACTGGGGAGACTGGTGTAACTGGGGTGACTGTGGTAATTGGGGTGACTGTGCTGATTGGGGAGACTGGGGTGACCGTGGTGATTGGGGTGACTGGTGTAACTGGGGTGACTTTGGTGATTGGGGAGATTGCGGTGACTGGGGTGACTGGTGTAACTGGGGTGACCGTGGTGATTGGGGTGACTGGGGAGATTGGGGTGACTGTGCTGATTGGGGAGACTGGGGTGACTGGGGTGACCGTGGTGATTGGGGTGACTGTTCTGATTGGGGTGACTGTTCTGATTGGGGAGACTGGGGTGATTGGGGTGACTGGGGTGATTGGGGTGACAGGGGTGACTGGGGAGACTGGGGTGACCGTGGTGATTGGGGTGATTGGGGTGACTGGGGAGATTGCAGTGATTGGGGTGACTGGGGAGATTGGGGTGACTGTGGTGATTGGGGTGACTGGGGTGATTGGGGAGACTGGGGTGATTGGGGTGACTGGGGAGACTGGGGAGACTGGGGCTCTCCCGCTCCCCTCCTGAGGGCCGCAGGGGTGTGCGTGCGAGAGCAGGGGCGAGCCTGGCGAGGAGAGGCAGCCACAGGCTCCCCACCTGCCGTTTCCATGACAGCCCTGCGTGCGCCGACACGGCTCCGTCCTGCCTGGCCTGCCGCTGGAGCTCGCGCAGCCAGAGACAAGGACGCCTCCGTCTCCTGAGCCCCTGGACGCGCGTCCCTTCTTCTGGGGAATCTCTCCAGGCCACCTTGGTGCCTCTTTGTTTTTGCAATAATTATTATTATTATTATTATTTTCTAATACATTGACATTTAAAAATCTGCTATATGCTCGGCCTTCCCGCATGCCCATCGATCAATCGGCCCAGAATCGTTTTTTCACCTTTAAATCCAACATGTATACAGCACGGAGGTGACATTGGAACAGGGAGCAGATGGATGGGCCAAGACATGATCACATGTATCCCCCCCCCTCCCTGTACGAAAACTTGTGGGTTTCCCAGCTGTGTCTTTCAGCCGACCCATCTTCTGCGTCGTCGCTGCTGCACCGCGAACCAGCTTCAGAACACTCTGGGAAACACTCCAGCTGGGGAGGCTGGGTGGGATGTTTCTTCTGGTGAGGCGTAGGGCTCGTTGGCATTGTCCTCAAAATATGTGCATCCTCCTTTCCAAAAAAAAAAAAGGGTTAGCGAGGGGGAGATTGGTTTGTGGAGCAGGGAGCAGGGAGCAGGGAGCAGGGGGGGTGGGTGTCCTGGTTTATCACAGTGCTCACCACCTGAATGTGGTGCAGTAGTTTAAAAGCACAGGGGCTCCTCGGACTCCTACCATTTTTCCAATCTTCCACTTTCCTAACCAAGAATTTCCCTGCCTGTCTGTCTGGAACCATCCATTCCCAGAATGGGGAGACCGCGATCTCGGCCGAGAGGCCCCCGCGCACAGATAGAGCCCACGTCCACGCCAGGGCGAGGGGAGAGGAGTGGGAGGTGGGCAAGGCGCCCCGTGCCGGCTGCGGCGAGCCCACGCACGGCCGGAATCTCGCCCCGTGCGGTGGACCGGCAGGCGGTGACGGTGGCGCGGGTCCGGCGGACACCCCCGCCAGTGAGAGCAATAGTTCAGCCCGCAGGATAGCGAGCAAAATGGCGGCTGTGAAATGGATGGAGGACGAGAGCGAACAATAATCAAGTATCCCCATTAGCGTGCTTGCTGTTCGCGTCTCCGGCAGCGGAAAGGTAGGTCCTTAATCCCGCTAGAGCGGCTGGACTTTCCGGGATCGGGACCGGGCTGCGCCTCCCCGGTGGCGGGCATGCCGTGTCTTGTTGGCTGGGTCTCTGCTTTGGTATGGGGGCATTTTAATGGACACGGTAGCGCACAACAACAGCGTGAGGCGGCGACACGAGCCAGACATATCTGGTGCAGTTGGGTGGACGGACTCGGCTCCGGTGTCGCTCCCTGCTCATGCATGAGCCCCCGGATCTGATGGTGGGGGGGGTCAGTGGTGCACCCCCTCATTGTAGCAGCCCGGGGCCGCGTAGATGTGTGATCCCCCAGCTCAACTTTGAGATCTTTTTTTCTTTTTTTTTTTTTAAAAAAAGAGAGAACTCTGCAGCCACGCTCTTTGAAAACTTGACGGTTGTACCCTGCCTTGTTTGTACGTGGCTGTTGTGAGAGATCACCCAAGGCGATGCCCACAGCGCGAGCCGGAGGTAAAGAGCTTTTTCCGTGTCGAAACGCGGATTATTTTTCGTGCGTGTGCGGCTCAATTTCGCCGCTCCAGCCGGTGGGGTCTCAGTTTTGACACTTCAGACCTGTAAAATGATAAAAATGTCTCCTGGTCGTCCAAGGTCTGTTTTGTGTTGTTGTTGTTGTTGTTGTTGGGGGTGGGGGCTGTACCCGAGGCTTGTGCAGTTTGCGTTGTGCAATTTGCTCCTCTCGTGTGCCCGCAGGTTCACACCTTGACAGTGGCAGGTTTCCCCATATTACACATGGTTTTCAAAAACTGAGATAAGCAAATCTTTTAAGATGTATTTTCTTAAGCACTTTGTATTGGTCCCTTCCATTTTTTTGGCCACTTTTGCCTGAAAACATAGTTCCATATCAAGGAATATTTGAAACCAAGAACATGAGAATGTTGTACATATAGTGGAGTGCAAATATAGTAGAATCATTCTTTGCATTTGGTAGATAGCTTTAAGGTATTTCTAACAATTGACATTACAACAGAAATTTGTTTTTTATATATATAGGGCTCTGTAGTTGGTCAGTTAAAACTTCCTTTAATAAAAGCTGACAATTCACCTCTTTATATGTATAAACACTTGATACCTAATGTTCTTGAACAGGGTGAAGTTGAACTGCAACGTAATAGGAAGCAGATTTCCTGGTATAACTACTTTTTTTAAACAAAAAAAAGTAGGAAGCATTCTTTTCCAATTAGTGCTTAATCCTCCTGTTGTTCTTCTCTCAGTCAGATTTTTTTTTTTATAATTAAGCGCCCATTAATTAAGACATTTTCCAGTACCTCAAAAAAAGACTGTATCTTAAGAGATGAGAGCTTCCCCCAACTCCCCCCTAAAAAAAAAACCCAGTGTTTTTATGGTCAGTGACAGCCCGGAGAGTTTGGACGCAGCGGGGCGTGAGTGTGTTCACGCTGTGTGCAGTCCAAGCTGGCCAGACGATTTCTCTCAACCTTGCTCCTGTCACATGGGAGCACTGTAGCGACTTGGGAAAGCCATGAAGGTAAAGAAAGGTGAATTATTGTCAATACGGTCTGTGATGGAGGAAGGGCTTCGTCGAAGCGGTGTGCCTTTTGGGTTAGTGTGACTAATCCTTTGGCTACGGATCTGCACAAAGCAAGGGATTCCTTTTCTGAAATAACAGCGGCCCTTCCCAGGGGCCGTACCTGTGCGACGGCGTTTCGTTTAGCTTCATTTCCTTTTCAGAGACGTCCTTAAAAAATTTGATTCCAGTCAGAGGAAGCAGATTGGGACGAAGTGCGTTCCACTCTGTTTAACTCTGCGACTAAATGCCCGTTCAGTCTCCCTCTTATCACAAGATACCTGTTTCGGATTTGCCATCAGCGATCATCATGTGAGCAGGCCACCCATATCTCAGTTCTGCCACTTCAGCTCGGAGAGTCAAGGGTGAACTCAGCCAGTGATTAAGAAGTCATGCAGACAGTATTAGGGTATTGCCAGTGTTTCATCATGAGTCACGGACGGTGCTCTCACATTGGCCCAAGTGCAAATCCTTGTCATTTGGTAGCGAGAGTCAGCTCTTGATATGACGGACGCGATTGCAGCTGAAGCCCGAGGTGAAATCCGTGCCCCTTGGAAGGGGTTAAATGCCACAGAAGGAACGGAAGTCTGCTGCCTTAACTGCCTTTCCTGGCTCGGAACGCGCTGCAGTTCCGTGTGTGTGCTGTCTGCCCTAAATGGTCTTTCCTGCCTCGTGTGACCCTGAGAGCCGTTTCCATGCGCTCGACGCAGTCGCCCTGCGGACCGGCCTGTCCCTGATGCACGCAGGTGCGCCGGAGAGTGGCAGGGCGGTGCTCTTCAGTCCTAACTTTTTCCACTGGGTTTAAGCTGCAGAGTAGTCCCAGCAATCAAACCGGCTTCCTTCGCCCTGGCTGGGAGGCTTGTGCAGGGGCCTCTCCGTCAAGGTGTGATATCTGGGAGTGTTTCCGTTTTCGCCCTGGATACAGATGGGGCGTGAGCATCATGCAGCGTGTCTCCCCGCAAACTGGGGCACTCGGCCGACAGCTCCTTCTCGGTCCGAACCGACGCCTTGCATCTCCAGGGGTGAATCCTGCGTTCAAGAGGAGGTTTTCGCAGGGCCTGTGAGCAGAGAGGATCAAGGCCCCCGTGCCAGTTGGGAAAGGGTTACTCCGGGCGTTTCAGAGAACAAGCGCTCATTGCTGACCTTGGCACCCAAAGAAGATAGCGTGTGCAAAATTAAAGATTAGACTTCCCAGCATTCAAAGCAAAAGGTTTGTCAATGGTGGTAAAACCTGTTTTTCCCTTTTCCTTTCCGTCCCAGAGACGCCACAGGTCACTGCCTTCAGCCTCTTGACTTATCAGTCAGTGACTTTAGGACAAACCAACAGGAAAGCTTTGGGAGGTTGGAGGATTTCTCTGCTGTTTCCGGACTTGTTGGGCAAAAAGTGACATCTCTGCGGCCCACCTGATAGTTTTTCACAGAGGCTCTCAGAGGAGAGGAAGAGCTGCAGAAGAGTGCACCACACAGATGAGCTAAGCACAAGATTTTTTTCTTGAGGAGCTCTTATCTCTAACAAATGAATCTTGCCCGATATGTGACCCTCGGGTATTTACTAGCACAGAATAGATCTGGGGAAGGCTAACGTTGGCACTGAGGCGATTGACTTCTCTGACGTAGGAAAACCACGAGTGCAGCTCCAGTAGTGGAATGCAGTGCCGTTAGTTTGTGATGACTGTGAGATTGAAATGGAACACAGCCACGATTATGGTGCCTCTTCATCAGAGGGGTTGCCGGTCAGCTGTGTGTTACTGCTTCATTACGGAGACGCAGGTTGTTGTGAAACTATAAATGACTAACATTGCTAATGAAGGCCGTATTCATAATACATTGAAACACAAGGTATGTATTAGCTATTTATTAGCTGTGACAGGTAATCAGTACCTAGCTACGCTTTTAATAGGGATTTCCATTTATTGTTCAGTGCTTGTGTCAGCCATGAAGAGCTCTGACATGTGGCTCACAGGTGAGTCTTCAAGAGCAATCAAGAGTTTCCATGGTAAAACAGGACAGGTGTGTGGACTTGGGATGCCCTTTACAATGGCACCCGGGAGTTAAGGAAGAAAAGATGAGCCCAGGTCAGGCGCTGGGGATGGTGCAGAGGCCCAGTAAAAACACAGGAAACTCTCCGGTTTACGTCAAGCCCTCGTGTCGGTCTGGCTTCAGCCTGTGGCTCTGCGTCTCTGGACACGTGGGCCTTGCGAGCTCTGAGGCCTCCTGGGGTTGTAAATCAGAGAGGTGACCAAGCCTGTCCTGTTTAACAGTTAAGATGAAACGGGTTCCTTCTGAGCGTTTACATAGGTTATAGGTGTAGGCCATCAAGGTGTCAACAGAAAGGCTCTCTGGAGAGTGTGTCATCCCCTTTTTTGACATACTGACAGAAGAGCTTTTGATGTTTGCCTGAGCAGCAATCTTCAAAACGGTGTTCAGAATCGGTTCATGAGCACATGGATGCATACATTCACGTTAGAGTCGAACATATGTCAATATGGTAAACACTGCAGTAGGTTGCAGTCTTAATATTGGCAAATGACTCAGTAACCAGTGCGAATCAGGAATGTTTTTTATTGCGTTGCCTCATTAAATCTGCTGTAGGAATTTGTTAAAAGTACTTCAAAGACGCCCAGCTCCCATCACAGATGGAACTCGCCCCAGAAGATAAGTTATCTGCTTAAGTCGGTCCAAATATGATCTGGATGATCAACTGGATGTGTTAGGTAATCACTGACTTGATTTCTGCCATTGATGGCAAATAACACTGTTATGGTACAGATGTCCAGCTTATCGTACTGTGGAATAATTAGTGCTGTTATATTGATATGCATATCATGATGGCTAAATCACCGTAATTTAGCTGTGTTTTAAGTTTAGCGATCATCTGTGTGAACTTGTGTGTGTTTTGCACAGAAGGCAGTGTCTATCAGGAACAGCCGCTGTAATGCTGTAGTATATGTAGTCATGCAAAGGCCAAGTTGACCAGGTTTTCAGTTGCTTCATTTTGCATTTGGATTGTTTCTTTCCTGGGCACCATGGCGTTGTGGCAGTAAGAGCTCTGGGGTCCGGGGTTCAGGTCCAGTCGGGGGGCCTTCAGTGTGGAGTTTGCGGGGAAGGTGCTTCCACACGGTTCCTGCTCGTGCCCTCTAGGTCGTGCTTCGCTCTTCTTTTTGAAGACATCTGCTCGGTTTTCTTTTTTCCAGTGGTCCAGGTTCTGGCACAGGTAGTGAGATAGTTCGCACACCGTGCCAATACAGAATAAACAAACACAGTAGAGGTCTAATGGTAAATAGCACTGAAGACGAGACAAACACCTTTCAGATGGAGATTTGTGTGGACAGTTGCAGAATGTTAGCAGGAACATAAACTACAGATATAAAATAGAAACAGCCTGAGCTTGGAAAAGCTGTCTGTTTAAATGACATTATTGTATGTGTTGATGCATCATATTCATTTTCTAGACAATGTGGCAATAAAAAAGGCAAAGATAATTTTATCCCTAATTTAAACTAAGGGATGCTTTCTAAAATGGTAGTCGCTCCATTAGAATATTGTGTACAGTTTTGATCACGGCATTGAGTCCAGAGAAGTGTGACTACACACTTTCCCGGGCTTGAGGACCGCCCTACACTGCCAGGCTAAAAGGAGTAAGTCCTTCTGGTCTTGAGCAGAGACGACAACAGGGCGACCTGATGCGAGCCCTCACAATCCTCAAAGGCATTCATGAAGTCAACCTGGCTTCTGAAATTAACACTGGGATATGAGCAAGGGGACAGAAATTGGGAGCTGAGGAGGTGCTTTTAAATCTGCGAGCGGGAGGCAGTTCATTACAAGGTCATGGCAGCGCGGAAGAAGCTGGTACCCTGACTTTTCTCGAGAGATGACTGGCGGAGATCCGCAGATCAATTAGCCGACAGGAAGCAAGCGAGCGAGCCAG